ATATGCTTCCTCTCCCTCTTGCTCCTCGTCCTCACGTTCATGCCGTCGTCGTAGATGCTAGGTGCATACAGTACTTGCAGCCAACACTTTGCTAGTGTCACATCACACGTGCTAGTTTAATTTTATTGTGAATATACGTTTATTGGTTGATGAGGACATCAATACCATCAATACATCCACGTCCCCACAAGTACAACTTCATGGTCCTATTACCCACTCTCGTGCACGTCAACTCAATAATCATGTGAGTTCTTTCTTAAGTTCATTTTCCTCTTCTTTATATCCCGGAGACGCGTGCACTCTTGTTTTACTCAGGAACGATGATGGAGAGGATCCAAAAGGGAGAGGATTTCCACGGGTTGGATTCGGACCGGTGGACAGCACCAACTTCTAATGGTCGCCACAACTTCATGCGAACTCCGATTTAGGCATGCAAGTACTTCATGGAAAGCTTATCAAGTCTACTTTCAAATGGATCTAGCCACATGTCCGTATCTGTTCTGGAGCAGCCGCAATTATCATTTTAGTCCCGACTGCTTTCTGTCCATGGTGCTGCGTCACCTCCTTTGCCCAATGGGCTGTGTATCAAGTTGGGCCCATTAGGGGCGCGTTTAGGGTTGGAGCACGACCCTGTGTTGTTCTTCCCCTTTTCTTATAGCTCTAGTCGCCGTAAAGAACACCGGGGTTTTGATGATGGAGTTAGCTACTTACTACCGGCTCGCAACGCGCGTGTTGGCTAAACCGCTCGTCTGCTTGTAATCAGAACCCTACCATATTGTGTTTTTGATTGTGAAAACTTTCATCTTCATCTAGCAATTCAGTGCTTGTTCTACTTGTTCTTGCTTGTTCTTCGATTGCTTGCAGGACGAGTGCCCTCGTGGCCGGGTTGACGCGCACCACAAGTTCACGGTGACCATTGGAGACGGTGTATCGGTTGCTAAGGCGCGGTGTCTTTGGACGGTTGTAGTCAGACCGTGAACGTCGTCTTCATCCAATCGAGTTATCCCCCACCTCTCATCGAAAGATTGGGCCACAAACCCTAGCGGGTTCACATCATTGGTTGTAGTTTAATTTGTCTTTTTTATTGTAATATGTAAAAGTTAAATTTTAAGTTGCATGTTTATGAAGTAGTATACCACGTATTAACACGTTTTGTCAATTTTTTTAACATTTTCGTAACTACTTAAGTGATATACAAACAACAGGTAGACGTCCTTTCGAGAGTTTAGAATAGTTTCTCTGTTACTTATTCACGAACGATTTTGCTATCCATCTCTCGTGTGATTTTTTCTATGGCATTTCACACTTTATTTTGGCCGCACGCTATGCACCACTTGTGATGTGAGCTGCAGCTCACGGCCTGTGTCAGCTAGCCCATGCGTGCACCATGATAGAGAAACACGGTGGCAAGGTGGCCTCTGACCGGCGAGCCGGCCGCCGGCAGTACGGCCAACGCTATTCGGCGAGCGACACCGTCCCTCTCGTCGTCGTGAAATATAAATTACAATACTATATAACTAAAATTACATTTGTAAATTTAATTGATATGACATGTAAGTGCACTGTAATTTTTGATAAAAATAATGTGTAAGTAAATATGCATTTGTTATTTTCTTTAAAATATAAAATTACAGTCCTATATAACTAAAATTACATTTGTAATTTTAGTTGATATGACATGTAAGTGCACTGTAATTTTGGTATAAGTAAATATGTATTTGTTATTTTCTTTAAAATATAAAATTACAGTCTTATATAACTAAAATTACATTTTAAAATATAAAATTACAGTCCTATATAACTAAAATTACATTTGTAAATTCAGTTGATATAACATGTAAGTGCACTGTAATTTTGATAAAAATAATGTGTAAGTATATATATATATATATATATATATATATATATATATATTTCGTTGGATGTAAATATAAAGGTAGAAAAAATCTGGGTGATTTTTTTTGTTAGAAATCACACGACAAATGGATAGATAGTTCCTTGAAAAGATTAGAGAACACATGTAGAAATTGGGGATTGAACTCTTGCATTGCGATGAGCTCAAAGAGCAAAATATTTGTGTACAATAGATGGAAAATTACCAAACTACCCATAGACACATATACTAATTATTACTACTCCCCTGTTTCATATTATAAATCATTTGACTTTTTCCTAGTCAAACTTTGTTATGTGACCAAGTTTATAGAAAAATTTAACAATATCTAAAATATCAAATTAGTTTCAAGTTGAACATATTATTATATTTTTCTATAAACTTGGTTAAACTTAAACAAGTTGCCTCCTGGGCCAGGTCCACGAGTCTCCCCGCCTAGTCCTTTGGAAACTCTGTGGCACTTGAACACAACGCTACCGCGGATACACTGAAAACTCTGAATTTTCCTAAGATAACATAACAATTCGGCTTCAGAACTAGCAGTGTGTTTCAAGCACAGCTCATTGTTCTCCAATTCCAACAGAGGATGTTAATTTCAATTCCAATATTGATTTACACAAACACTGAACACAGCTAGGTCGATACAAAAGATGTCCGTACTGCTGTTTGATTCATCCTGACTCCTGAGAACCTGAAGCCATAAACTATGCAGTAGAAGGCCTGAAAGTATGGATAATTTGAGCGTGTTCTGGAGCTCTGAATCTTTAAAGACAGAACATGAGAATCCGTCATCCCAGGAATCTAGAATAACAGAGCCTCCAGAATGTCCAGTTCTCCACATTGCCAATCTCAACGCAATGCCACTGTGCTTATAACAAGCATGAAGCTGCTGAGACCTGAAAGGCATATTCCCTCTTCATGCCGAACTGAATTCCTTGCTGCAGCAAGCCGCCATGGACCGAAACCTTGGACTCGGCGAACCAGCCTCGGTGTTCTATGTGGGTACAATGGTTACATCATGCGTTTTTTTGTTTGACTGTTTCCATTTCTGGTAACCACATGATCTGCAGCAGAGCCCCTGGCCGGCTGTAGTACTAAACATACTTGCTACAAGGATACACGGATAAGTATATTATCATATATTTTACCGCCTCGACTTAAACATTTGGATGAACTAGTTGACAGAAAAACTAGTATGGGTCATTGATAATTGAATCTTGCTGGATGATCTGTCCTTGATCACCCAAGCAGGTAGTGATCAGTATTCAGTAGTCATAACTAAAGAGGTAGAGGTAGATGACAATAGACCGGTCCAGTAGTACTGGCCATGTGGGCCCCTGTCTCTGACTATCCCAGCAACGGCCATCAGGAATACGTGCCTTAAATCCAGCGATTAAGACAGCAATTAGTAATTATTGTTGTTATTAGCATTCGCCTTATGAATGTCAATGATCAACCTGTCTGCTGGCCCTGCCTTGCCGCTTGCATCGTCTCAGCTGAGTTCATCTCAGCTCAGCTCAATTTCACAGCAAAGAAAAAGTTAGCATCTGATTCATCTCTTCTTCTCTCTGAACTCTGATGCCGTTGTCGTTCTGTATCAAGTCTGTCCACCCACTGTCATTCTGACGAAGAGATGGACGATCAGGAGCAGATGCTAATCTGCACATGTTGACCATGAGATTCGTGATGAGCGACGTGTCGATTAGGGATAAGCTGCATGTGATGATCCCTAATTCAAGAATCAACCATTGCACATGTAGTGTCAAATTGACAGTACATTTCTCTTCCACTCAGGGTTAGCGGCATCAGTACACTTGAAAGTACTACCAGTTTGCTTTCTGCCAAAGCTGTCGTTATGGTCTCCCTCTCTCTTTTGTTCATCTTTTGGCTACACACTCATTCCCAATCACTGCTAATCCTTTCTTTGTTTCGGCATTACAATCATTGTTATCTCTTCCTGTCTAGCAAGTAATTTCTGACGTTGGCCAATTCACTGTTCAGAGAAACCGTTTTGCCATCTGTTAGATACTTTCTTTTTCAGATATGCAAGATGCAGTGCAAATTTTGCACACTCACGCGCCATAAGTGGTAATCATAAACCATGCCAAATTGCAATTAGAAGCTGGACCATCTCCTCGAGCTCATCCAAGCGCATCAATTTTGTGATCTCTGAGAAGATCCATCCATTCCAAATCAGCATAGTGCACCTGCTCCTTCTCACAGTTTACTAATCTAACATGAGCAGCACAAGTTCCTGAAGAGGAAAGACTAGTCTAAAAGACGATATCGAAACGAAAACCAATTCGGAATATAGTAGTAGAGAGGAGGAGAGATTGCGTGGGGATAGCAGAATTATAATAATACCGAATTGATGATCTGACTGCGAATGCATTGTAAACGCCGCATGCTTCTGCTTTTTTGGTATGTTTCCTCCATATAAAGACCTCTACCCATGCAGGTGTCACTACATCAGTGCATCCAGGACTTCCTTCTAAGGTAAAGTCTTTTCTTTCTCTGAAGTGTTTATCTTCAGACTAGTTACTACTTACTCTCTCTTGTTCTAACTACTCTAGTTTTTTTTCTCTATGTCCCTAGCTTCGCTTTCCTTCTTTCTCTCTTGTCTAGCTATCTTTCTTTGCATGTCTTTGCATTGAGAAGAAAGAACTCTGTGTCAGTTTATTGGAGCCTGTTGTTTTAGACTTGCACAGCTTCAGTGATCAATGGTCAGGCATCGCGAATGAAAATGCCAAAAACACAAACTGTAGCTTTTTGGAGCTTCCACGTATTGTTTTTTCATGTGTGGAGTGGTTCATCTCGCCTGAAACGAAACGAGGTTCTGAAATCATTCAGCATGGACAGTCAATAGGGCGATGCCTTTAAAACCAATAATTGCTATTGTTCTCTAGCTGTTGTTCTCTAGTGTATTGTCCATAGTAAGAAAGACGAATCGCTATACAGTTGCGGAGTTATACTGTAGGTAGGCTTTTGATGTCACAATTAGTGGACGACAAGAACTTGGGGGAGATCATCACTATGATTTTTTTCTTCTTCTTCTTCTTCTTCTTCTTCAAAGATCAGATCACTATAAATAGGCATTGTCATTCTAAAAAACATACTTGAGGCAAGGCAATGCCATGACAACATCTTCTCATCGCACCACTTGATTCTTTCATAGTAGTATTTCTCAACGCAGATTGATTTGATTTGATCTGATCTGAACAGTGTGTAAATGGAGCATCTCAAGAAAGGAGTGGAGTTTGGGGTGGCCTCCCTGCAGAGATGCCATTCTCTGTCGTGTCAAATGGTGATGCTTTTTTTTTTTGCAAATCTTTCGCGCTAAAAATTTCTTTTCTTGTTCACTTTTATGCAAAATGGACCATACATGTCGGCTAATGCTAGTACTATGAATTTGGCATAACCATCTGCATATATATATACATCCCATGACAAAAAGGAAAAATCAGAGAAAACCTCAGCTGTTGCTGTGATCAACTTGGTGACTGAACTTATATATAACTTCAACAACATATATAATTCAGCTTGTATCATGACTTAGCTACCATGGTGGTTTTGCTGAATGTGCAAACAGGCAGAGAGCACGCAGATCGACGAGCGGAAGACGGGGAACCGATGTAGCAAGGAGAAATCACGGCGTCCGAAATGCTGCCATCCTGCAGAGATGCCGGTCATCCCCGAGCAGGCAATGGAGTTCCTCTCTCGGACATGGAGCCCTTCCTCCTCGGATCTCTTCCAAATCCTCTCTCCCAGTGTATGTTTATATGCACACATGCATCATCTGCTCTGGACCACACCGATGATTGATTCAGTTCCATTTTACAAACTACAAAATCAAGGGTGTTGACATATACATATTAATATATTCCAACTCAATTATCAACATGTCATTTCCATTTTCATGTTTTATACAGGTTACAATTTCAGTTCTGTCAACAGCAGCAGCAGCTAAAATTAATTATATTCTTCTTTTTTTAATGTTTCTTTTGCCTGAATCTATAGAGCCTGGGAACATCACCGGTAAACCGTCAGGAAGACGAGGTGATCGGAGACGAAGACGTTGAGGTACATGGGGACACGGTTCGATTTGATGGAGGCAGAAGCCAAGTGTTCAACCAGACATGGGTAAGCCAAGTGTCAGCCACTACATGATGTAGCTTATTATTTATGCAAGAGACATCTTTCTGATCTTCCTATGAACGATCAATTTCTTGCTTTACCTTGACAGGGAATTCTAGCCAGTGGGAAGTCTAGCTCAGGACAGCACAAACATAAGAACCAACCCACCTGGGTAAGGGCATATGTAGCACAGGGAGATGTGACAACACTAAGAGTAAGGTCAATAGTATAGCCAACTACTGGCTCCAAAACATCTATAGCCAATCTAATAGCTCATTTATATAATAGTTAACTATAAAAATATACTACACCATTAATACCCGGTCCCACCTCTCATACACACATAACATCTTGGAGTATGTGTTGCAGCCGGCTATAAATCTGTAGCCCGCTTTCTTCTCTCTCTTCTCTTTTCTTCTCGATATATGGTTATAGCCGGCTTATAGCCTGCTATTGTACCTGCTCTAAGGCCCTGTTTGGTTGCAGTGTATTGTAGTCCATTCCAAAAAGATCTTATTTCTGGCTATGCACATGAATAAATATTTGTCCAGGTGCATAGACAGAAATAAAATCTTTTTAGGACGGTGGCAGTAGTATTTTGTCAGATTTTTCATTTCAAGACAAGGCCATCATGCTTTGTCGGATCTGGCACAGTGAAGTGAATTGACGAAAGCTTTTGGTTTCCACTGAAAATGAGCAGCTGAACATGGGACACATGAGGGCAATTCTGAGAGGATACTTGATGGACAGCATCCCCATCGCCGGGAGTCGGAGGAAGAGGCGCGACGAGCTCCGGCTGCACACGGCGCAGGCCCACGCCGCCGTCTCGGTGGCCCAGCTCGCAGCTGCGATCGCCGGCGTCGTGTCAGCTTGCGAGCTGAGGAGCAGCTCTGGGGGTGCTGGGGCTGACAGGAAGCTGAGCACGGTGCTTGCCTCGGCTGCCGCGCTGGTGGCCACCGTCTGTGCCGAGTTCGCGGAGTCTGCCGGTGCCGACAGGTCCCGGGTCACCTCCGCCGTGAAGGCCGGCCTCGACAGCCGCTCCCCCGCCGAGCTGCTCACCCTCACCGCCACCGCTGCCACATGTAATCAACACTTCAGTGGTGAAACTCAACCAAGTGATCGAAGCTACAAACTCACTGATGCTATGATGCTGAGCTTCTTGTATGCTTTTTCCAGGTCTGAGAGGAGCAGCTGTGCTGAAGCTGAGAGCAGACGTCAGCAGAGGGATCAGCAGCAGCACCAGCAACTCCATGATGATGATGAGCACCAATACAGCTAGCATTCAGAAAGGCACAATTCTCAGGGTTTGCCTGCCTTGTGGTAAGAGACCAAACCAATGATATTAGTACCTTAAAAAATAGCATCACTACTAGTAGTACTACATTGTTATGCCCTAGTACAAAGTACTAAGACTCTGACTATGAGGAGTACTAAGATAGTACTACTCCTAAGTCCTAAGAGATTATATTTCCTTCCCCAAAATATTAAAAAAAGATAGTAATTCTAAGAGATTTTGTTTCTTAAAAATGAAGATATATAGTACTCCTAGGATATTTTATCTGTTATAAAGAAAGAAGGTAGTACTAGCTCCTAGGATCTAGCATTGAGCATGGTGCAGCAAGCAATCTAATGATAATATGATATTGGGGTATTTGGGTGGCATTACAGGAAGGTTGCGGCTGAGGACGGTGGCCGTCTTCCCGGAGTGCGGCACGGTGGCTCTGAGGCTGGGGAAGAAGCGCCTGCATGGAGCATTCACAACATACCAGCACTGTAATAATTAAAAAAATTTACCTGCATGAACCAGCTGAACTGCTTGCCACTAGTGTATTGATCTTCGTTCTGCTTGTCGGTGATGATGCCTGAACCCTGTTGTTTGTGCTTGGTCCAGATGAGGTGTTGGCAGTCTCTGGCGGTGGCGAGGCGGTGGTGGATTGTCGGAAGTTCTTCCCCGTGGCGCTGAGCACGGCAGCAGGGACGGTGCAGCTGCTGCTGGACAACCAGATGCACTGCAAGGTCTGGAAGGCTTCCATCGAGAGCATGCTGTCCGGTCGAAAGCTCAAGCACACCAAATGCTGATTAATTAGAGCCAGGAAAAATTGCCTTGCTTTTCTTACCATGTTGCATCACCCCTGTACATGCAATGTATGTGATGTGAGTTCTTAATATACAGGTAAAACATAAACAACTGTATAGTATAAAATTATAATTTCTTTAAACATCACTTTCCATGTTCACCAGATAACCAAACCTTCCTCATTATGATAACCCTTTCTTCCTCGCTAAGAGAAGAGAAAATATTACAAACAATCAAAACAGAGCAAACGTGTTCCTAACTTCAGCTCACCAGTAAAAGTATGATACTAAGCAGCCCACTAGCATCGATCATATGAAAAGAATACAGCAAAAGGTCCTTCTCCATAAAAAAAGTTACACTAATTCAGATGTGACTTGTTATGTTTTCATGCGATGCACAGGCTTGCCTGAAACAAAGGTTTGGCAGATGGTAGCAAGACAAAACAAGAGACCAGTTCTTTCTTTTTCCTTTTCATATTTTATGTTGAGAAAAAGAGGCAAGGAAGAAATAATGGATTCACCAGCTGGGCAGGTTGTCATCAGCATTCAGCAGTCAGACTGTGTGATAATGTCATCAATCTTGAGAATCATTTTCACCACCTGAGTTGTCAGCACGATCTGCTGCTGCTTGTTTTGTTCTCTGATGCCGTTTGTTCGAATGCAATTGCAGTCAATACCATGATGAGGATTGCTATCTTGCAAAGGTAGTTCAGGAGGCTGGGAAGTTACCCACAATATTACACAATGCTTCAAAATAACTGATGTGCGAGGATGCTATATAATAGAAAGAACATAGGTTCCTTAGCATATCATCCTATAACTAGAGGGTTCTCTATTATATAGCATTCTATATATTTTCTTGCATCCACCAGATTAACTAACAGATAGTAGGCGTATGTGCTGGTTGAGTTGATGGCATATGAAGCATTTTTTATGAGCCCAAAACATACTAGGAGTGGGGCGACCTAATCAGACTAAATGTAGTCAATTAATGTCAACTATAAGTCTATAACTAAAGCAACAGAATAAAGTTTAAGGATTACCAAAAAAAAAAAAAACTTCACTTGCTGAGGATTTACTGCAGTCGACGTATCAAAAGGGGGCAAACCACTGTTTTCAGCTAGGGCTAGTGGGATCCCATCCAATGCACCTCAAATGGCATGAGCGATGTGTGGGAGAGACGTCTCAGGGAGATCTGCACGTACAGTTTTCAGGTATCAGATAATGATAGCATACTCCAGGTACACAGACACAATCAGAAGACAGGCAGACATTGCTTCATTTTGTAACTTAAATGTCCAATGTCAGTACTTACTTGGTCAACTCCAGGCTGTTGATCTGCTGCAGTTTTAACAGCAACTAGCATGGTGACCCGCGCAGATTGCTCGGCTAGCATCATTATATTTTCTCTCATATAATAGCATATATGTTTTCTCATTATATTATTCAAATATATTAAAATGATATCATAATTTTAAATTTTGCAATAACTTTACGAAACTACAAATGAGTAATATTCATATTGTATTTTATATACGTGTTGGTTAGTAATTATTTTTAATATCAAATTTTAGTTATTTGTAAATTATATATATTCCTATATGGACTCTAGACTCGTCTTTTAATATTTCTTTTTTTAATTCCGAATTTTCTGTAAATTGTATTTCTATATAGACTTTAGGCTCTTCTTCTAATATTATTTATTTTTATTTCTGAATTTTTATTATTTTTAATTGTGTTTCTATGTGGACTCTAAACTCATCTCTCAATATTATTTAATTTTTAATTTCGAATTTCAGTTACTTCTAAATTGTATTCCTATATTGACTTTAAACTCTTCTTCCCATGTTTTTCTTAATTTCGAATTTTAGTTATTTGTAAATTGTATTTTTATACGGACTCAAAACTTTACTTTTAATTTTACTATGTTTATTCCGAATTTTAGTTAGTTTTAAATTCTTATATGGACTCTATACTCTACTTCTAATATTTCTTATTTTTTAATTCCGTATTTCTATTTTTTTTCTTAATTGTATTAATTGTATTTTTATATGGACTCTATACTCTACTTCTAATATTCCTTATTTTTAATTCCGAATTTCTATTGTTTCCTAATTGTATTTCTATATGGACTCTATACTCTACTTCTAATATTCCTTATTTTTAATTTTGAATTTCAGTTATTTCCTAATTGTATTTCTATATGGACTCTAGTCTCTTCTTCTAATATTTCTTATATTTTTAATTCCGAATTTCAATTATTTCTAAATTGTATTTCTATATGGACTCTAGTCTCCTCTTCTAATATTTCTTATTTTTTTAATTCCGAATTTCAGCTCTTTCTAAATTGTATTTCTATATGGACTCTGCTTTTTCTTTTTCTCCGATTAATGTGAGAATTTCTAGGCCATGAGAGCGAACGTGGAGACTCCTTTTTCTATTCCTTTAATAATATAATAGATTGAGCATGATATCTGAGCTGAGCCACCACCATAAACAATAGAGTTCTTGCGAATCAGATTCCTAGCCACACAGAGCATCATGAATACTTCACTTGGTCTCCTCAATAATCATTTCGTTTCCTGCAAAATCAATGCAGAATGTTCAAACCACCTACAGATAAATTCTGCTAACAGCTAGCACAAGGTGTCTTGGTTAGATTCACCAATGATGGGGTGAAAGTACCCAAAATAAAAACTTGAACAAACAAAGCATATGAAGATAATGATGGGGTTAGGGTTGTCAATTATCGTACAGGTTTGTACAAAAAAACAGGTTCTATATTTGTAGCACTGAACTAAAACTTTTGGGAGATGTGTTCGAGATAATCAAAAACTATCCTTGACGCCATCTCATAACCTTCAGAAATCCTAATTGGAAGAATACCATATTCTAACAGTTTCTCAGCTTGGTCTAGAAGTGATCCAAACATGACCACCATCGCAGTGGTACCATCCCCAATTTCACAATCTTGATGCGGGAGAGCTCCACCATCAGCTTAGCAATCTGGTTATCAACATCCATTTGCTCCAGGCCTCCAGCTGTCCAGCATCATTGCTCCAGCATTTGCTGCAATTCATAGGTAAAGGTGTTCAATCAGTAAATGGGTCAACAACTGTACGAAGAAACACCAATTCAGATAAGTAACCTATATGCATAACCCCACGATCAACTGCTAAAACCACAAACCCAGATCCCCACAAAGACACATGTATGACAAGAACTGATCCATCAAACAGATCTTAATCTTTAGGGTGCACATTCCCTCACTAGGGCGGCAATTAACCCAACTGCAGAAACGACGGGCTACACTTAACACCTCGCACAGAACACTCCAGTGGAATCAACAATCAAACAAGCATGTTGATCTAAGGGAAAGGCACTAAGCTTCAAAAGCAAACCGGCTTGCAATGTCCAGAACTCCAGATCCCATGGAAGCAAGCAACTCACCCAACAAACAGGAAGCAAGCCAAACAGGGAAGACAGGAGAGGAGGTTAGCAGGTGGTTACTAATGGTGGCTTCGCCGTCAGGGGAACTGGACCATCTCCCTTGGTGTCGAGGTAGGCGCGGAGGATGCGCGCCGCCACGGCCTCGCCGGCGGCGACATTGGCCCGCCTTCTGCGCGTCGAGTCGAGCCCCCACAGTCGCGTGACGCGTCTTCTACTCCTTCTTCCTCCTCCTCCTCGAGGATGGTGAACGAGATCGACCAGCCGAACTCGTCGGAGGCCAGCACCATGGCCGCGGCGGCGGCGGCGCGCGCGAGGCTCGGAAGGTTCTAGAAGCATCGGAGTTGGGGAATCCATTAGGCGGCGGCGCGAGGAGCCGAGGAGGAAAAAAAAAAACGCTTCATGGGCCCATCAGAAGGCTAGATGGGCCCATCAGAGGCTTCGTGGACAGAGGCCTAGATGGGCCGAGATAGGTAGGGGTGGCAACTTGGCCCATCAGAAGGCCACCGGCCGACTCTAACTCCCACTCCCACCGGCGGCGACGGCGGCGAGCCGAGTTCCCCATCGGTGGTGGCGGCGGAGCGTGCGGGGAAGGAGGAGGAGGAGGATGGACTGGTCGAACCTTGGTGGGGAGGGGCCGCCGGGTTGATCGCCGAGCGCGTCCTCGCCAACGACGTCGCCGACTACATCCGCTTCCGCGCCGTGTGCCGGCCGTGGCGGCTGTGCTCGGTGGATCCCCGCTGCTCGCAGAGCGGCGCCATGGACGGCCGCTTCCTCCCCCGGCGGTGGATGATGCTTGACAAGGCGGCGCCCCAAGCCGTCGGCTGCTTCCGCTTCCATCACCAGAATATGACACTCCTCAACCTGTTCGTCTGTTTTGCTGATGAATGATGATACATTGCAGCGAGCGGCTTGGTACCTTGGCATAGTTATTGTTTCCTCAGCTCAGCGTGGCTGGGGCACCAAGCAACCATGACGCGGTGGCTTGTGCCAGCAATCATCACACGTTAAGGAAGCAAAGGATGCAGGGCTGGCGAGGGAATTTTCGAGCATAATCCACCGCCAGGGAGATAGTGGACCTTACACCGATAGTAGCAGTGGCGGTTTCCGCTTATACAACTTGGCAGGTAATGGTGTTGTTTCCTTCTAGTTTCAACTAGGGAGTGCATCAACTAGAAACACAAACCAAGAACCAAAGCTACAAATGAAATGCCTTTCTAAGCTTGACCCTACATTTGCCCACTTGGTGTTGGTGATCCATGCATGTAGCATGCTGGAAAGTAGTACTAGTTAAGCTTTCAATTTATCCCTTCCCTGTGGTTTGCTCTTATCTTGTTTTGCCTAACCATTCAAACATGTCATTAATCAGTTCCAATCTTTTCTTCTGGTATCAGGATAATTCTCCAGCCATGTAAATTTTATTTGTTCATGCTAGTGGACGAATTGCCATCTATCATATGATCACATACACCTTTTTCTTTTTCCGTACATGCAAATTGCAGCATATATTCCGGTTGAGGTGTGGCAATCATAAAAGCCACCTCCTTGACCTTGAATGCAACAACATATACCTATTTGGCTTGTTTTAAGATGAGTCATCTCCTAAAGCATTTTGGATTTACAGGACTTGATGAACACATGACCTGAAAGGGGAAAAACTGGTCCAAACTCCAAAAAGAGTTACCTGACTGCTAATGCATCGTGTGGAGGCAAGTTCTGGCAATATTGTACCGAACACTCATGCAAGTGTGACAAGATCAGTGCATCAAGGTTACCTGTCAAGCAAGATCCTCCTTGAAATGCTTATTGTGCACTTTTATTTTTGTAGAGAGAGAGGCTTCATATACAGATATACTTACTGCTGCAGTACTTCCTTTCTTTGTCTGCATCTTCTCCTTCTTCTTTATGTGTAGAATTAGTATAGACATTCTTACTCTTTTGTCAGCAGAATATAGTGTTCTGTACTTATTATAGAAGTCTCAGTGATCAGTCACCATGCAACAAAAGAAATAGAAATACTGCATATAGTTTCAGTTTTACTTCCCACTCGATTTTAACATGAGGAAGCATTGTCTTGCCTGAAACAAAGTTTTCTAATTACTTAATCACTCTGTATGTACAGTCAGTTGGGCCTTAGTTTTGATTCAATAATTGATATTGTTCTCTAGTGGTTGTTTTCTACTGAATTGTCCATAGTAAGAAATGCGAATCGCTAAACAGAAAAAGGTATTATACTATAGGTAGTCTTATGATACCACATCTGGTGGACGACAACAACTTGACTTTGCATATAAATAGGCAGTCCCAGGATGATCTTTCCGCAGCACTCCATTCATTTATCTGGTTCTGTTATATATCTCTCAACGTAACCTGATTAAGTTGGTGGTTATGGAGCATTTCACAAGAGGAGTGGTGCTCGGGATGCCTTCCATCCAAAGATGCCATTCACTGTCATGTCAAATGGTGATGCTTCTGCATATTCATACTCCTCTTTGATTTATAGAACAGAAGCAGGAAACGAGGCATAGTTTTGGCTAAGGCTACTATAACCATATTCAACTGAAGTTTTTGTATTACTTATTGTGTTTAGCATGGTTAGAGATTCTGACAAATTCTGAGAAAGGTTTGATTTTGTCGTTATCAGGGCCAGGTGCCTATAAATTTCTGCATCATGACGTTGCATCTCTCTTTTAACATGGTTTTACGCCCCTTCTGTGTTGAATACTTAATTTTGTGCTGTGACCGTGATAAATTACTTAATTTTCAAACAGGCAGAGCGCCCACAGATTGATGTGCGGAAGGCAGTGATCCAGTGTAAAGAGGAATCACGGTGCTCAAAATGCTGCCATCCTGCAGATATGCCGATCATTCCTGAGCAGGCAATGGAGTTCCTCTCTCGAACATGGAGCCCCTCATCATCAGATTTCTTCCAAGTATTCTCACTCAGTTTCAGTTCCGTTTACCAACGCGGTGTCAGCATTTACTAAATTGTAGAGTTACTCTATTATTATCTCCATATCTTTCTATGTATCGTTGGTTAGTTTGAAAATCGAGATTGAATTAGCCAACGTCATTTTTTTAAAAAAAAATGGAGGGAGTATTTTAGAGCTCACATGCACAAAAGTGCTTTCGTAAGCTTAATCATTAAGCATGGAGATATTTTATGTTTTGTTTTTATGCACACAGACCCTTAGAACATCATCTGAACACCGTCAGCCGGAGAAGGCAATCAAAGACGAAGAGGGAAATGAAGAAAAAGATGAAGAGAGACATCTGTCCACGGTCAATTTCAGTGGAGGCAAAAGCCAATTCTTCAACCAGACATGGGTATGCCAGTGAATGGTCTCAGACTCTCTTAACTCTTAACTCTCGGCCAACACAGGAGTTGCCTTCCTATATATGTTCAATTCTTGCTTGTCTAACAGCGTGTTCTAGCTAGTGAGATGCCTAGCCCCATAAGCGCAAGCATAAGCTAAAAGCAACCAACTTGGGTAAGGACACGACACAAGCAGTATAACAACAATAACATGGCACATCCACAGGATAGTACAAATTACACAGTAACTGCAGTATAGTATACTCCCTCTGTTTCACAATGTAAGACTTTCTAGCATTGCCCACATACATATAGATGTTAAAGAATCTAAACACATACATATGTCTAGATTTATTAACATCTAAATAAATGTGGGCAATGCTAGAAAGTCTTGCATTGTGAAACGGAGGAAGTAGTTGGTATCTTGTCAGATTTGCTAATGAATGCTTTGTTTTCCTTGGATATTAGCAACTCAACGCTGGCTACATGAAAGCAATTCTTCGAGGTCATTTCTTGAGTGCTGTTTCGGTCACTGGACGCCAGCGAAAGAAGAGGAAAGAAGAGCTCAGGCTGCACGCAGCACAGGCCCGCGCGGCTGTCTCGGTTGCTCAGCTCGCCGCAGCAATCGCAGGCATTCGTGTCGGTGTGCGAACTGAGGCCGGACAACCTGAAGTATGTCGAGGCTGCTGACAGCAAGAAGATGGGCACAGTGCTTGCTTCCGCTGCTGCGCTGGTGGCCACCGTCTGCGCAGAGGCTGCAGAGCTCGCTGGGACCAACAGGTCCGGCGTGACTTCCGCCGTGAAAACTGGAGTCGAGAGCTGCTCCTCTGCTGAACTGCTCACCCTCACGGCCACTGCTGCTACATGTAATCCTGCAAATTATAGGTAAAGAAGGAAAAATCACTTGAACCGGTGTTAATGGTTCTTTCTGTTCTGGTTTTGCACTCTCATCAGGTCTGAGAGGAGCTGCAGCACTGAAACTGAGGGCAGACGTCAGGGGAATCGGTAGCAACAACAACTCAGTTGGCACCAGCACTACTAGCATCCACAAAGACACAACTCTCAGGGTTAGGCTGCCTTGTGGTGAGTGATCAAATCAAATAATCAATACGAGGAGTATTAAGATAACACAAATATCTATCACTGAGCAGAGTGCACCAATGACAATATTGGTGTTTTGGTGTCATGCAGGGAGCGTGCGACTGAGGAAGGTGGCTGTCTTTCCACAGTGCGACAGAGTAGTACTGAGGCTGGGGAAGAAACATCTGCACGGGGCATTCTCAACCTACAAAAATTGTAAGAAGCACGCCCAACTCGTAGGCACAATATACTTGCGCTCAATCTGTGGTTGTTTTGCTCTTTTTATGTCACTATATAAACAAAAAATTAAGAGGTTATAATTTGTTTTACATATTCACAACGTAGTAAAATTATTGCTTCCGACACAGTAAATCTAAAAGTAGTTTTTTGGGGCGCAACACCTGAAAATAGTTACAATTATCGAGATTATCACAGTCTAACGAAATGCCAATGGTTATCATACACAGTAACATTCTTCTGCTCTACTTGCATGAGTACACTGTTTGTCTCGATCGATCGTGCCACAGACAGTACCACCGGAAGTCCGGTACTGCATCATGTCACCTGAAGTGTCTGCCTTTTTGCTTCGTTACGCTTGTCTCCTGGCCCCTTTGATGATCTTGCAGTCCGGTACTGCATCATGTCACCTGAAGTGTCTGCCTTTTTGCTTCGTTACGCTTGTCTCCTGGCCCCTTTGATGATCTTGCATGCTTAGCCACACAATGGTCTGGTCATATCACATTTGTTTGCATCGCTGCATATATGCTAACTGTTGTGATTTGGCTCAACCTGGTTGTATTGATCACTGGCTTCATTTTTTGTCGGCCGCTGGCTCTGCCTGCGCCCTGTTCAGATGAGGTGCTTGACGTCTCCAGCAACGGCGGCGATGTGGTGGTGGACGGCATGGTGTTGTTCCCGCTGGTGCTCAGAACGGCCGCTGGTGTGGTACAGCTGCTGTTGGACAGTCAGATGCACTGCAAGGTCTGGAAGAATGCCATCGAGGGCATTCTGTCCGACCAAAACGTCAAACACGCTAAACTCTGAGCCGTCGTCGTCAGGCACACGTATACGTACATGTTTAGCTGCAGCTATACACTTCACTGTGTGAGTTTGCTTCTATATGAACCTTTTAATAATTAGCTGTAGCTCTTAGCAAAATCCGAAATGTTTCATTCTATTATAAAAAAAAATTATGTACACTTCACATGATATACAGAGGTGTAGTATACTACTATATTGCACTACAGGTCTTGGGTTGCATTGTGTACTCAATGTACGCCAGTCGCCAGTTGTTGAGGTTTAGTTCTGTAATATAGGTTGCATGGGCTGTTTTTTTTTTTCCATTCTTCGGTCCTAACCTCACCTACTTTGTACACCAACATGCTTTTGAGAAAATTATGGATGATTGGATGTTATAAGTTTTTCACTTTTTTTATTTATGTGTGTATTTTATAAGTATATATACACATGAAAAGAGGTGTACTCCTTATATTTTCAGATTTCCGGTTTCCGGTACCAAATGATAAATGGAGTTTCGTTCTCATTTCAATCATGCAAATGAATTCACATAATGATGGTGATGATTATTTGATATCGACAACAGATAAAATGTCAGGAAAAAATTAATCAAACTCTCTTGGGCTTCGGCCTTAGGCCGTGGGGGACCTAAAGTGAACTTATTCCAAGTAAGCAACGCACAGCTAGTGGCGGTGGCGGCGAGCTTCGATGGGCGGATCACGGCTTCGTGGGCCTACCCGGACATAGGTCTCGATGGGCCGAAATGGGTAGGGTTGGCAACTTGGCCCATCAGAAGGCCACCGGCCGACTCCGACTCCAAGTCTCCAACTCCCACCGGCGGCGGCGGCGGCGGCGAGCCGAGTTCCCCATCGCCATCGGTGGCGGCATCTCCGTGACCCCCTGCTCAAGTGGCGGCGGCGGAGCGTGCGGGGAAGGAGGAGGTGGAGGATGGACTGGTCGAACCTTGGCGGGGAGGGGCCGGCCGGCCTCATCGCCGAGCGCGTCCTCGCCAACGACGTCGCCGACTACATCCGCTTCCGCGCCGTGTGCCGGCTGTGGCGGCTGCGCTCGGTGGATCCCCTCTCCCGCGCCCTGGACTGCCGCTTCCTCCCCCGGCGGTGGATCATGCTCGACAAGGCGGCGCCCCCCCGCTGCCGCCGCTTCCTCTACCTCTCCACCGGCGAGTGCATCCGTACGGATCTCCCGGAGCTCGAGAGCCACACCCTGGTCGCGCTCGCCCCGGAGGGCCTCCTGCTGCTGCTCCACCAGCGCACCCTCCTCCTCCGCCTGCTCAACCCCCTCACCCGCCACCTCACCGACCTCCCGCCGGTCACCGCGCTGCTCACGCCGGAGCAACTGCGATCTTGGCATTCGGATGGGGGGTTAGAAGACGATCCGCTATTGGCGCGTGGCGTCGGTCTTGCATCCGCAACCACAGTGGCTCTCTTCCTCTGCCGCCCCAAGTTGATCGCCGTCGCTAAACCCGGCGATGAGTGCTGGGCCGTCGTCGTCGCCGACAAGAACCGCCCCTACATTGACTCGGCTTTGCCCTTCGCAGGGCGCTTCTACTGCGCCATCGGCGGCAGTGTCATGGTGCTGGACAGCTCTCCTTCTTCAGATCAGATCATAGAGGGCGGCCGCGGCTGGTCACCACCGCTCAGCCGAGCAAGCCCTTGCATTTCTCCCGGATGTCAGGAACTATTCACCTTGTGGACAATGGTGGGGAGTTTGATGCTGGTGTACCGTAAGATCCGCCAGAGCAATGTTGATGATGAATCGCGGCAAGGTGCTGCGAAATACGAGATGAAGTATGATGTTTACAGGGTGGATTTCGACGCCGGGGACTTGATCCCGGTCAAGGGGTTGGGCGGGCGAGCTGTGTTCTTGGGCCTGTGCCGCTCCGTCACTCTACTACCTGCAGAGGCTCGCAGCTGACACTCTCTACCTGGGATTCGATTGTCGTGAAAAGACTCAGATGAACGAAATCGACGGTTACAATGTTGCAGATGGGAGTAGCGAGCCATGCCACCTCGACTCCATCTTCCGTGAGATGTCGCAGCAGGACGGTTACAGTGTTGCAGATGGAAGCAGCGAGCCATGCCACCTCGACTGCATCTTTCTTCAGATGTTGCAGCAGCCATACAGCTTCGTCAACTGCCTCTCCCACTGCATCCAGGGAATAGGCGATCATCTTGCCTAAGCTCGCGGATCATCCGGTGGTCGTTCGGTGGCAATCTGAACCTTGCATCCTTTGCTTTGGCATCACTTGTATCGTTGTTCCTTGCGATGAAACAGCATCTGTACCCCCCAAGTAATTAATTTATGAAGATGTGCTTACGCGCTTATTTATATTTGCCATCTCATTTTATAATGTGTGCTTGCTTTAGTTCCTGTTGCAGTTGCACCAGCTCACCACATTTTTTCGCATTTTGTTATATTTGTTTTTTAAAAAAACATTAAATGGCAGGAGCTCTGCCGGATATATTAGAAGGAATAAAGGTCACCAACCGTTACAATCAGCGAGCAAAAGTAAAAACAACGTCTAGAGGGAGTAAGCCGTTCAGATCGTCAATTACAGAATAAAAGAAAGACGACTGGGAAGACTTAGCGAAGAATTAGCCATTAGCCTGTTTTGAAAGCTCTATGAGTGTAATTTCTTGTAGGGTTGTCATTGATGCCATTTTCAACCATACCATTTTTTTTTTTTTGACAAAGTTGCCTAAAAAATGTCTACGTTTAGTTTGTTGCAAATTTGTTAAATACATAAGAAATCATGCCAAAATTTTGGCCAAAATTTGGTAAGGTTTATTTTGGCTATAATCTGAACAAGCCCGTAAATAACTTCCAAGTCGCACCAAAGCATCGATCTCCTCTAAAGAGGTGATGGGGTTTAGAATAGCAAACTAATGATTATTTTCGAGAAGCCAGTTATCAGACCAAAAAGAGCATTTTCTTCCATCCCCCAGAGTAATCACTGATCCAGCTCTAAACAACACTCGGTCCAATTCATTACAAGGAAGTTCCATCTCTTGCCAAGGCCTGTTTTCATCCTTCCAACCGAACCATAACCAGCGCAGACACAATGCACATGAGAACTTTTCCAAGTTAAGAATACCAAGCCAACCTAAAGATTTGAGTTTGTAAACGTTCTGCCAATTGACAAAGACTGCTGCCTGAACTCACATTTTCAAGGTCGTCTCCCTTCCAAAGGAAAGCACGCCTGAGACGATCAATCTTCTTATATTTGTTATATTTGTCATGTTCTCACTTGAAGGCTTTTTGTGCAATTCCATCACCAGAATATGACACTTCTCAACCTGTTCGTCTGTTTTGCTGATGAATGATGATGCATTGCAGCGAGCATATGCCTATTTGGCTTGTTTTAAGATGAGCCATCTCCTAAAGCATTTTGGATTTACAGGACTTGATGAACAGATGACCTGAAAGGGGAAAAACTGGTCCAAACTCCAAAAGAGTTACCTGACTGCTAATGCATCGTGTAGAGGCAAGTTCTGGCAATATTGTACCGAACACTCATGCAAGTGTGACAAGATCGGTGCATCAAGGTTCCCTGTAAGGCAATACCCTCCTTGAAATGCTTATTGTGCACTTTTATTTTGTAGAGAGATGCTTCATATACAGATATACTTACTGCCGCAGTTCTTCCTTTCTTTGTCTGCATGTTCTCCTTCTTTATGTGTAGAATTAGTATAGACATTCTTACTCTTTTGTCAGCAGAATATAGTGTTCTGTACTTATTATAGAAGTCTCAGTGATCAGTCACCATGCAACAAAAGAAATGAAAATACTGCATATAGTTTCAGTTTTACTTCCCACTCAATTTTAACATGAGGAAGCATTGTCTTGCCTGAAACAAAGTTTTCTAATGACTTAATCGTTCTGTATGTACGGTCAGTTGGGCCTTAGTTTTGATTCAATAATTGATATTGTTCTCTAGTGGTTGTTCTCTACTGAATTGTCCATACTACACGGTACTATTCCCTCCATATTTTAATGTATGGCGATGTTGATTTTTTTTACTAACGTTTGACCATTCATCTTATAAAAAAAATGTAATTATTATTTATTTTATTGTGACTTGATTTATCATCAAATGTTCTTTAAGCATGACATAAATATTTTTATATTTGCACAAAAAAAATTAAATTAGACGAATGGTCAAACGTTGATAAAAAGTCAACGGCGTCATACATTAAAATTAAAATAAGTAGGAAGTAAGAAAGAAATGTGAATCGCTAAGCCGAAAAAGGTGTTATACTGTAGGTAATCTTATGATATCACATCTGGTGAACGACAACAACTTGCCCCTGCATATAAATAGGCAGTCCCAGGATGATCTTTCCGCAGCACTCCATTCACATTTATCTGGTTCTGTTAAGTTGACAAAATAGGAGTGATCAAACTAAAACAATGCAAAGTAAAAAATTGCCCCGCATTATGAAACGAAGGGAGTAAAATAAATTAATAATAGAGCATTCAAATAAATAGCCTTGTCATTTGCAGGAGTACTTGTAGTGATAAACAGAGGGGGGGAAATACAAGCAGTGCATACAAACTGATTCTCATGGGATAAAAAGTAGCAAGACCGAAGAAGCTAAGCAGCGGTAATTCTAACGAGAGACTCGGTGTAGGGCATCAAGGTGAAGTCGACGACACTCTTCCATCTCGCTGGCCTACCACCCTGATACCTGATGCGATCCAGGTTACACACCACACCAGCGAGCTTCCTAGCCGAGAAGTCGTAGCGATGGACGCTGCGATTCGCCCACAACAAGATTCCTCCTCCATCAGGAAGAACCCCCAACGGATGGCAAAGGGCGTTGACACAGATGCAATATCGCAGTTCCCATGGCCCGTCGTCGAGGTGGACATCGTCGTTGTCCATGGACGACGACGACATTGTCCAGATAAGCACCCCAGCCTTGTCGGGCAGAGCTTGCACGACGCACAGCTCCCCGTGCAGCACGTCGGGCAAGACGTTCTCGTCGAGCGTCGGGTCCATCGATTCCGGGAGACGGGTTACGGCGAACGCCTCGTCTCGCAGGCTGAACCGGAGGAGTCCCCGGGGAGCATCGTCGGGGTAGCGGCGCCTGTCCATGTACCAGAACAGGTAGCCACCATTGACGGCAAGGGCGGTCCGCCATCGGGTGATGGGGTGTGGAGGATCAACGGCGGTCTCCCTCCACCGCGCGCCGGGCTCGCCGACGGTGAGCACCTCCATCCCCATGGAGACGGGAGGATCCATGGAGGGGGAGCGGTAGAAGGACCGAACCACCTTGTACCTGCCGGTACCAGGATCCAGCCCCAGCCCTGCGGTGTGGCTGTGGCCATGGCCGTCAGGCAACGTGATGGCTTCTCTTGTTGCCGGGTTGAAGAGGTAGAGCTTGGTGATAGTCGGGGCGAGCACTAGGCCATCACAGTGGGTGTAGTGGCTGATTAAGCGGAACTTGTGGCCGACAGGGAAGTCCTTGGCATCCATGATCCTCGCAAGGGAGGAGGCACCTTGCTCCCACTGGTAGAAGCTGATGTGGGTGGAGAATTTGGTCGGCCGGTCATGGCGGAAGTGGGGGCTGATGAGGATGGATGGCTCCTGCTGCCGTCTGGAAGCCGAGCACTGGAGTTGGGTTCGGATGAAGCAGTGGCGGAGCCAGGATTTGAAAGTTGGGTATTCCCGTCTAACAAAAAAATTCATAGTAAAAAAAATCAATGGTTCACAGTATGTCAATACCGATAATCTAAGAAATAAAATTACAAATTATTACATGGTACCTCTAATTTTCTATTTCGGTTCCTTCGTGGCTTGGAAGAGTAGCTTTAATTCTGCGTTCCTTCATGGCTTGAAAGCGGTTTATAATATCACACTCCTTGACTTTCAAAAACATCTCACGCTCAATAAATGTGACCAAGCAATCATTCAAGTATTGATCCCCCATCCTGTTTCTCAATTTATTCTTCACATAATTCATGGCAGAAAATATTCTTTCAACACTAGCTGTTGCTACTGGAAGTACCAGAACCAATTTGAGAAGCTTGTAAACAATCTCATGTCTATTGTGCAATTTTGTTTCAACAATCATAATGGAAAGATTAGCAAGATTTTTTACTTTTCTAAACCTTTCATCTATACGCATCTCAGTGAGGAAGAGTTTCAATGCTGATGGAAGATGGTTCATCTCTGTGCTTGAGAAATCATTAGGATAAAACCGTGCAAGCTTAATCAACTTATCTTTGTCCCAACTAGCAAAGTTATCTATAGGACTAAATGCAGCCATACAAAGGAGCAAATCTGTGTTTACCTCATCAAACCGTTCATTAAGCTCTTGTAGTTGTCTATCAATGACACTTAGAAACATGTCAACATGGAAGCGATGCATATTCTTGATTTTAATAAAGAACCTCCTATCTCTTCCAACCGGCCGATAGAAAGAGTCCATATCAGGGATCTTGATCTTATGCTTCACACAAAAAGATTGCACTTCTTGAAGAAAATCATCCCATCCAGGATCCTCGCGTAATTGCTGCAATTGAAACTTTGTCAATAAAATCAGTCCTACTGCATTAACAATGTCTTGATCCCTCTTCTGCAAAGCATGATTCAAGTCAGATGTGAACCCAAGTACTGTTTGCATCAAGTGTGCCATAAAAACAAACTCAAATGATTGGAATATTGTCAACACTGTTTGTGCATTTGCACATTCTGCACCAAAAGAGCGATCCTTGCCAACCATTATAAGAACTTTTTGAATTGAAGGATACAAAGATAGGACATGCATAACAGTTTTATAGTGAGATCCCCAACGAGTATCTGCTGGCCTGCCCAAACCCATTTCTTGATTCAAACCCTTTCCAGTTTCAATGTCACCCAAATCTAGTTCTTCTACAATTCTTTGAGCTTGTGCAACTCTAAGCATTTCTGTCTTCTTACAAGAATTCCCAAGAAGATTTAACAAAAATCTAAGTTGCTCAAAGAACCACACACAATCTGGGTTTTCCTTAGCAACAGCCACAAGTGTTAATTGGAGTTGATGTGCAAAGCAATGGACATAATAGGCAGAAGGGCACTCATCCATAATCAATTTCTTTAGTCCATTAGCATGACCCTTCATGTTACTAGCACCGTCATAGCCTTGCCCACGGACCTTAGACAAGCTCAAGGAATGCTCCATAAGCAATGATTCAATTGCAGCTTTAAGTGTCAAGGAAGTAGTATTTTCAACATGAACAACACCAAGGAACCTCTCAACTACCCTTCCTTTTTTATCAACATATCTCAAACAAAGAGCCAACTGTTCTTTTTGGTACACATCACTAGATTCATCGGCAAGTATTGCAAAATATTCATCACCAAGGTCTTCCATGATAAGCTTAGTAGTTTCTTTGGCACAACAATTAGCTATCTGTTTTTGTATTTCGGGAGCAGTCAACTTACAATTCTTTGGAGCATTATTCAAAACCACCTTACCAACTTCTTCAAAGTTTTCTGCTAGCATACTCAACATCTCAAGGAAATTTCCTTTATTAAGTGACTTTTCACTTTCATAATGTCCACGGGCAGCCAAACCTTGCCTTAAAAGAAACTTCAAGCACTTCATTGAATAGTTTAAACGAGCCATATATCTAGCCTTGTCTTGTTCATTGGTGGCAGCAAAGCTCTCAACAATATTTGTTTTAGGTGCAAGGAAGTGATTGTATTTATCTTGTGCCACATTGTGAAAGCTAGTCATACCACCAACATGTTTTGCAATCCTTTTTCTCATGTGCCAATTCCTAAATCCCCTATTTACAAATGCATCTCCACCAGAATTATTAATTTTATGCTTGAATAAGTAACAAATAAAACAGAATGCAGCATCTTGTTCCACACTATATTCAAGCCATTTAAATTCGTCATACCAACTAGGAAGGAAGCGCCGAGGCTTACCTCCAATTTTCCTTATAGGAAAACTGTGGCTGCGTGGTTGGCATGGCCCTAATGCAATATATCCCCTTATCACAGAATTCCGTTCATTGACATCATAATTTTTGATTGCAATTCGCCTTCCAGGATCATGACAAAGTAAATCAATGTCATAAATAGCTTCATCACTTGAGTCATACTCTGTCTCTTCATCATCACCATCTCTGATGGGAGACCAATCTCTGATAGGAGACCAAGTGGAAGGTTGCTCCTGCTGTGTCACTGCTGTTGCTATGTCTGGATCATTGCTAGCTACCTCTGTTTCAGGTTCTGTCACATCTCTTGCTGCATCACTGGCTGCTACCTCAGGCACAACCTCAACTGCAGTAATCTGAATCTGAACTGGACTCTCATTTGCATCTGTAATCGGCTGAACAGAAGGAACAGCAACTTCACTGTCAATTCTAACTGGCTGTGTTGTTGATCCAGAACCAGAACCTAACCCTACCTTCCTAGACTTTGAATGTCTATCCCACAAAGTCTTCAAATCAATCGATTTCTTCTTCATTTTGAGAGTTCTTCAATCTACAGAACTACAAAAGTACAGGAAAAAGAAACTACTCAGAGACTAAGGTAAAAAAACATCAGACATGGACACATAGTGAGTGGATTTAGGACTGATTGAATCTTGAACTCTTGATTTGTCACCTGAAATTGTGCCTGCCGCAGTGCCGCTGGGCGCTGTCCCGCTGAGCTGCAGCTGTTGGCCGGCCGCCGCCGCGCCCCTGCCCCTCGGCCTCGTGGCCTCGCTCCCGCCGTCACCGGTCGCCCGTCGGTTGCCGTCTCGCGGCCTCGCCGCGCCGCCGCCGAATGCCTCGCCACGGCGTCGCGCCGCTGCCGAATGCCTCGCCGCGCCACCGCTGGTCTAGCTCCCTGCTCCCGTCGCCGGTCGCCGGACGCCTTGCCGCTTCCGCCGGTCGCCGCGCCGCCGCGCCGCCGCCGAACGCCGCCACCTAGGGTTTGGAATCAAATGGGGAATTGGGGAGCGGGCGAGCAGCGCATTTGCGCGTGAGGGTGAGGCGTGAGCCGAGCGAGGGACTCTGGAGGAGTGGGGACAACTAATATGTGTATATGTGTTATGTGTATATATTGAAGTATAGTTGTTTTTTGATAAAAAAAGTTGGGTATTCCTGGGAATACATAGGCATCACTGTAGCTCCGCCCCTGGGATGAAGGAGGGCTCGGAGATGATTGCACGCCACCCTCTGCAGACGGACTTGAAGCGTAGCAGGGATTTGACGGGCAGACGAGCCAGAATCTCCATCACAATCTCCTCCGGCAGCTCAGGAAAAGTAGCTGCTGCTGCAGCTGGTCCTACCGTCCTCTTCCTCTTCTTCATGTTCATGGTGTCGTCCTACATGCAGCAAACACACAAACAAATGATGCTTAACTCGAGATTGCATAGTGCACATATATTTATTAACGGAACGTAACATAGCATAGTCCGAATCGGAATCTGCATACCAAAAACAAACAAAAAAAAGAATCGGATTCTGGAGCACAGCTAATTCGAGGAGCAGGAAAAAGATTGTTCTGTCTGCTTCTTGGGCTATATGCAAATAGACTAGCTGTGATCTCATCTGCGTCAAATTCTGAGATGATATATCCAACAGGACAATGATAAGAGAGCTTCTTATTTTTTTTTGTTGGTTCTTTGTGCTAAGAATGAATTAAACAAGTGAAAGGGAAAACCAAACAAACAGATGAACATACAGCCTATACAACGGCAACGGCGGTAGTGATTCAGATATGGTGGTAAGGAATGCCTTATTAGCTACTCCCTCCGTTTCACATAACATCTATATAAATGTAGGTAATGCTAGAAATTCTTACATTGTGAAACGGAGGAAGTATATGCCTGGCCTGATGTGATGCATGGTGGAATATATGCATGTATGAAGAGTTGTAAGTTTCTTCTTACGTACTAGAAGAATGCATCTTATGTAAACTTCTATGCCCCTAAAAGGAATATAATTTCATACTCCATGTTAGGGCATCCACAATGTGCATGCAAATATGATATTAAGGAATAAAGTAATATGTTTGTTATTGCTTTATGCATTGGGAGAAGATAAAAGAAGAGAATGTTGCTATGGTTATACCTTTGTAGCATGATGTGGGTCTTTGAATCCTGCATGTAAAAGGGTGAAACAAAATTTTTTCGAGTGGGTCCAACCGTAAAGTCGATAAAAAAACTATAAACATTGTAGCATATGCTATTAGCCAAAGACCATATAATGGTGAGTCTCACCTTATAACCTCTATGCATCTTAGACATTGAGGATGCCTTTAACCTTTAATGTTTTTACCATTCGCCGCAGCAACGCGCCGGATATCCTAATGTTTTCCACGATGATGGTGATGAGATCAACAGTAAAATGGTTAGAATGCAAGTAATCAGACTAATTTGGTGCTTGGGCCTGTACAACACTTCGACGCCCATTAGACAGACCCATATTGTCGGCCGAGGCTGCAAGTATCCTGGGCCTCAGTGAACCTACAAGGAATAAGATCACTTTGACTCCCTCAACTGATCACCGAATCTAAATAGTATCCCTCAACCGCAATACCAGAAATCTTGACTCCCCGAACTTACAAAACCGGTGCAATTTGACTCCCTTAGTGGTTTTGGAGGGCGGATTCGCTGACGTGTCGCACACGTGGCAGTGTTGACATAGTCTTTGTCCCACGTGGCATTGACGTGGCGTTTATGTGGCATTAAAATAAAAAAAATATATGCGAGACCCATTTGTCATTCACACAAAAAAAAATTATGGGACCCACTGACATGTGGGTCCCATGTGTCATCCTCTTCCTCCTCCCTCTCCTCCCTTCGCTGTCTCTCCCTCTCTTTCTTCGTGCGTGGGGAGCGGCGTCCAGATCGGCGGCGGCGGCGGCGGGCGATGGACAGAGACGCTGGAATGGATCATGGCGGAGCTCACGGCGAACACGCGGGTGATGGCGAAGCTGCAGGACGAGATCAGTCGAGCGGCCGACGGGAAGCCCGTCCCGCCCCGATCCTTGTCCCGCGCCAGTCGACGGCGACGGCGGTCGTACAAGGCTAAGAGATCCTGGCCAAGACGTCGTTGTTCATCAACGTGTGGGCAATGGGGAGATACCCCGCGGCATGGAACTCGTCGGAGGAGTTCTGGCCGGAGCAGTTCTTGGCCAGCAGAGAGGCGGTGGACTTTCAGGGAAACAACTACCAGCTCATCCTGTTCATCACCGACCGACGGATCTTCCCCGACATCAACTTCGCCGTGCCGGTGCTGGAGACGGCACTGGTCGGACTCCTTCACCCGACGAACGAGCTGCTGGGCGGCGGCGGCGGCCTGATGTGGTTGCAGCGGAGCTGCTCCCGCGCCCGTCGCCCGAGGTCCACCGCCCACCGCCGCCACCGCTCCGGCACCCACCCGGCCGCCATCGCCGCTGCTGCCGCCACCTAGCCCCCGCTTGCCGCCGGCTCATATGAAGGGGAGAGAGAGAGAGAGAGAAATAAGGGAGAGGAGGAAGAAGGGTAGTGAGAGAGAAGATGGCATGTGGATCCCACATTTTTTTGTGTGAATGACAAATGGGTCCCACATATATATTTTTATTTTAATGACACAAGCACCACGTCAATACCACGTGGGACAAATACCAAGTCAACACTGCCACGTGTGCGCCACGTCAGCGAAACTGTCCTCCAAAACCACCAAGGGAGTCAAATTGCACCGGTTTTGTAAGTTCGGGGGTCAAGATTTTTGGTATTGTGGTTGAGGGATACGATTTAGATTCGGTGCTCAGTTGAGGGAGTCAAAGTGATCTTATTCCAACCTACAATGGCCTAAATTAATCCCAATTTCATTTCCTAAGTGGGCCTCAATGTTTCCGGTCCATTTTTCATGGGCCATAGCCCAACGGCATACAACGAAGGAATATGCGCGTGCGCGCATCATCCGGGGCCCACCATTCCAGAGAATTTGAAATCCGGGCGAGGAATTTTGAAAGACATTTGAACCAACCATTCTGTCCTGTCCATTCTGGCCCACCTCCCTTATCCACCCTCTGATTCCCAAACTGCCCCTTACTCCAAACCTTGTCTGCTGCAAGTTGCTGAAATAATTTGCTTGCATTTGCTTTGGATCTCTTACGAAATTCAAGAGTAAAAAGGTATACTGAAAATCCTTTTGAAATTTCAATTCATCCGAAAAGTAAAACGAATATTTGAATTTCGAATTTCGGGGAACTTGTTCCCGCCGGGCCACTTGGAAATTGGAATTTGCCGCAAGGGGCAAAACCGTAAAATGGGAGCAGTTGCACGCTTTCGTCCCTATCCGATGCCGTCGCGACAGTGACGCCTCTCTGCTCCCTTCGCTTCGCCCACAGAGACACAGTGCTTTCTCCCTCTCGAACCTTCCGCCTCCTTCTAGAACCTTCCACTCCCGCTCCTCGTCCGGGCAAGGAGGTGCCGCCTCCCTCCGCCTCGCCGGAGATGGCGACGATGGAGAACGTGATCGTGCTCGTGAACCGCATCCAGCGAGCCTGCACCGTCCTCGGGGACCACGGCGGCGGCGACGGCACCGCCTCCCTCCCCACGCTGTGGGAGGCGCTCCCTTCCGTCGCCGTCGTCGGTGGCCAGGTGCGCCCCCCCGCCCTATACCGCCTCTGCTCCCCCACCTAGGGTTTCGCGTCGTTGCTCAATTTCGGAGGTGAACGCTCGATTTTATTTGCGCCGGTTGCATGCGTGCAGAGTTCCGGCAAGTCATCGGTGCTGGAGAGCATCGTGGGCCGCGACTTCCTGCCTAGGGGCTCAGGTTTGATCGGGAATTCTGCGCCTGTGTCCGAATTTTCGAGTACCCGTGCTGTGATTTTTACGGCCACGAGGTTTGTGTCTTCGATTACAGGTATCGTGACGAGAAGGCCGCTGGTTTTGCAGCTGCACAAGACGGAGGACGGGGTGCAGGAGTACGCTGAGTTCTTGCATATGCCCAAGCGCCGGTTCAACGATTTTGGTGAGTGCTCTCACTCACTCTCTCTATACGCATGGGCGCGCGCGCTCAGACATTTTCAGTGTCTTGCAGTTGTTTGGGGGGTTTTATGGGTTTATGCTTTGAACTGGTTTACTTAGTGGCCGTAGGCAAATTGCTTTAATGAAATGCACAATTGGCCATGTTTAGTGTAATTAACCCTGCAATTAGCAGTTGCTAGCAGCAGATGCTGTATTGTTCGGTTTCTACACTGCTACTACATATGTATCCTCTTGTTTAATGTCAAAATTCGGCAGTAATTTTTCAGCTATACAGGTATAACACTGCCTAGGTAATGCTCCATAAAATTGTCACGATCAATAAATTTACTTTCACTTAAACGATCAATAAATTGTCACGAGAGAAGCAGAACTGGAGAAGCAATCTGTTGTCATTACTAGGGCTGTAGACATATTAAAATTACTTTATTTAACTAATGCAAATGGTTGCAAAATATATAGAGGATACATTTGCTTGTAATGAATTCTGTGTGGTTTCAGCGTCTTGTTACCTTGGAAATGACTGAAGTTGAACAGATAGTTCTTACAAACATGCTGGTGAATGGTGATATTTGTTTTCTGCAGCTCTTGTGCGGAAGGAAATTCAAGATGAAACTGATAGGCTGACAGGGAAGACTAAACAAATATCACCTGTTCCAATTCATCTCAGCATTTACTCACCACATGGTACTCACACCCTTTGCTTGACTTATGCTGCTTCTTTTTTTTTTTTAATGAAGGATCACAGCTGCTTTTACTTGTCAAATTTTATTTTTCCGGTTTCATCTTATATAAATAAGACTGTGTTTTCTGTTTGGCAACAATACTTGTGCAACCTTTAATTTCCTTTTTTTCTCACACAGGCATAGACTTTACTTATATGCAGTACATCGCAGCTTCATGTAACTCCAGAATTCTTAACTTAACATAACTCTATTCAATGAACTATTGCAGTGGTCAACTTGACATTGATTGATCTGCCGGGTCTAACTAAAGTTGCAGTAGGTATGGAAATGTGTACCGATTTTCATGCTTGAACTTACTTGGACTTAAGCAATGTTAACCAGAGAATTTTCACTTACTACATTGCCTTTCAGAAGGACAGCCTGAAAGCATTGTCCAGGATATTGAAAATATGGTGCGCTCATATGTTGACAAGGTATATTACTTCAGTATAGAATATAGGCCTACACATTCTTATTAAAGTACTACCACTGGGTATTTTTTTCATTTTATGAATTATTCGATGCGCCTTAAAAATAAATTCAGTGCCACTTGACTTATTACATCTCTGGGGTGTTAAAATAAGGGTGCAATATTTCCTCGTATCAATATTCACTTATACAATTCTAGCTTGATTGGTCTCCCACACCTATATTTCACAGTCTCATTAGCAGTTAATGCTGACTGATAGATTTAAGTACCCTTTGCATGTCTCACGGTCTCATTAGCATTTAATATTGTTTGCTTGGATGCCTTCTACAAAGTATTTTAAAAAATGTAAGCAAGTTCCTTGGATCTGCCCGTTTATAGCATATTTCTTACAGCCATTCTTTTCCAAGTGGGCTAGTTGGCTATAATATTTTTTCCAGGGTTAGACAAAAGTACTCCAATATGGGGCTATTTTTTTAGAAAATGGATTAAACCCAGCCTCTACATCCAACGGAAGTACATATGTGGTGCTGATTATATTGTGCCTTTCCTTTGTTGAAATTAATTCCTATATTCACTAGTGCTTTATTTTGTATGTTGCATTAAGTTATACTGCAAACTAAAGCTCCAAGATGACCATATCTTAACAACATTGCAGGAGACTATGAAGTGTGCATTTGTGTGTACCTTATGCAGTGACATTTTTGTATTTTCTTTTGTAGCCAAACTGCATCATACTTGCTATATCTCCTGCCAATCAAGATATAGCAACATCTGATGCTATTAAGCTTGCTCGAGATGTTGATCCAACTGGTATGATCAAAGTTATACACTTACTTTACTATGATATTTTAATTTTGTTAACTGTCGATTTGGTGTTTTGCTGTCAATTGTGGCAGTGAATGATTCTATTTTTCTTTATTGTATACTCCTTAGATAATCTTTGCTAGGTCCATTTGCTTAGAATATGTCTGGATATTGGGTGGTAGACAAGCAAAATAGTGACATATTCTTGTTTTTGGAGAAACCTCATTTGTATTTCAGTATATCTCATGTGCTGGCCATCTCCTGAGGTTTGAGATAGCTGTTCACCTGCTCTAGTTGATAATTCCATAAAGGATTAGTTCCTATGAATTATGTAGCAGGGAATTTACTTTGCCAGTTGCTACTAATTTTAGACAACTCTGCTCCCAACCAGTTTATAAATGAAGATCCTGTTGCCTACCAATTGTACACCATGAAAATGTGATAACCATTAGTGCTACACATTTCTTCTTCACATCTATCCAAAATAGTCACAATATTTGGATGCCTGGAGATTGCTTGGCTGCTTGTAATTGCTAGGGGGGATATATGGTATGAACTAGGGGGTAGCCTTAAAATAGGAGAATGAGAAATAAAATCTGAGCCACTAGATCAACTTGAAGTGGTCTATATATACCAAGTACATCGCCAAATAGGATTTTGGCCTTTTGGGAGGGTGCAAGTACAACCAGCAACCTTACAAGAGTAAAGTGGATTAATCGAGAGAGCCCTTGGGAATCATCAGTATCTTTTGATGGTTGATGTTAGACATGTAAATTGAAGCCGGTGGCTTAGATTGCTGGTTCTAGACTTCTAGTCTCATTTTCTAAAACTAGCTCATATTAGTATGTTCTGCACATGGAGAATCTGAGACAATTCCATCCTAATTTCTTTCGTGTGGAATAATCTATGTTCAGGTGAAAGGACATTTGGTGTGTTGACTAAGCTTGATTTGATGGACAAGGGAACAAATGCACTTGATGTATGTTTCTCTTTACTACTTTACTTTGTATGCAATTTGGGTTATGTAAATTTTAATCCTCCCAATATTTGTTCTTCTCATTAAGGTTCTCGAAGGAAGATCGTACAGACTGCAGCATCCATGGGTCGGGATTGTTAATCGTTCACAAGCAGATATCAATAAGAATATTGATATGATTATTGCCAGGCGAAAAGAACAGGAGTTCTTTGCTTCTAGTCCTGAATATTCTCATTTATCAAGCAGGATGGGTTCAGAATATCTTGCCAAACTTCTTTCACAGGTTCTGGAAAACCCATTTGGTGTTCTCTCTCTTTTTTAATTATTTTGAAGTTATTAATGTTAACGGATGCATTGCTGTTTCCACCTCTTAGCACTTAGAGGCTGTGATCAGGGCACGTATTCCAAGCATTACATCTCTGATCAACAAAACTATTGATGAACTTGAATCTGAGATGGATCACATTGGTAGACCTATTGCCTCTGATGCTGGGGTATGAACCTTATGGTAAATTGCATTGTATTCAAATGGAAAAAGCAAACATAATTTATGTGCTTGTGCAGGCTCAACTATACCTCGTGTTGGAGCTTTGCCGTGCATTTGAGAAAATATTTAGAGAACATCTTGATGGAGGGTAAATATCATATATGCTATTAGGCTTCTTTATTACCTGCATTATGTGTCCATGCAATGTTTGCTTTAGAGATCTGAAATGCTGGCATAAAAATCGCAGACGGCCTGGAGGTGATCGAATTTATGGTGTCTTTGATAACCAACTCCCCTCTGCTCTGCGGAAGCTTCCATTTGACCGCTACCTCTCTCTGCAAAATGTTAAGCGTGTTATCTCAGAAGCTGATGGTTATCAACCTCATTTAATTGCTCCTGAGCAAGGGTACCGCCGACTGATTGAATCTGCTCTCAATTATTTTAGAGGGCCAGCTGAAGCTTCTGTAGATGCTGTAATATACTAAGAATCTTCCTCCTGTGGACTGTGGTTGCCTGCTCTGGTATTTTATTTATTCTGAAATCTCTTTTACCATTGTTGCAGGTGCATTATGTTTTGAAAGAGCTGGTAAGGAAATCCATCGGTGAGACCCAGGTTGGCTATTTTGCACCACCATATCAAATCATCATTGTACCTTCCTCACCTGTTGCTATGTAGTAATTCTTTTTTTTCAAAACATGTTAATATATCGTTAGGAATTGAAAAGGTTTCCCACTCTTCAAGCGGAGCTTGCGGCTGCATGCTTTCATGCCCTAGAGAGATTCCGTGAAGATGGACGTAAAACCACTGTACGACTGGTTGATATGGAGTCAGCATACTTGACAGTGGAGTTCTTCCGCAAGCTTCCACAGGAAGTGGACAAGACTGGAACTGGGAACCCTTCCACTCCTTCTGTTGATCGTTATGCTGACGCGCACTTCAGGAGGATTGCTTCCAATGTGTCCTCATACATTGGCATGGTATCTGATACATTGAAGAATACTATCCCCAAAGCTGTTGTTCATTGTCAAGTCAGGGAAGCTAAGCGTTCCTTGCTTAACTATTTCTATACCCAAGTGGGCAGGAAAGATGTGAGTTACTTAGTTCGTTTTGTAACAAGCTAACTCATTCAGTCCTCCCAATGACCATTTTCCTTTGTAGGCTAAGCAGCTTGCGCAACTCCTTGATGAGGATCCTGCTCTTATGGAGCGAAGGCAGCAGTGCTTTAAGAGGCTTGAGTTATACAAGTCTGCCAGGGATGAGATCGATGCTGTGTCATGGTCACGTTAAAGGTAACATTCTGTTTGCTTTGCAATTTGACATGCAGAATTAATAGCCAGTTGATCTGCACTTCTCGTGTCAAACATTTGAGATTGATTACTAATTGTTGTGCTATATATGAGTCTTGATTGCAATGTGTTTTCATAATATGTATGCAGACTTTTAAGCACAAGCATGAATGAAGTCTGTCTGTATATTTGTTTAAGATTCCATGGTATTCACAAATTGAATCTAGAATTCCAGATTACTGCATTTTGTTGCTTATTTTCGAAATGAAATGTTGGCCTATTCAACTAGCCCTATAAGTATATGGTTGACTGCATTGACTATGCATAAGTTGCATACTGAAACTCTGCATAGTTAAAATAATGTTGGTCTGTGTAATTTGTATTCAAATAGCTACTAAAATTCTTGTCTAGATTAGGGCCGTTGTTCGGTGACTATTTCGTTTTGGGTGTTGCCGAGACAAGAGCCGCCCAATAAATAATACCAATAGTGCGTTTGAACATTCTTGGCGTGACTCGACCTGCAAGATCCATCTGCAGTCTAGTAGTTTTGTTATAGGTAGCGTTTTCCATTGTTATGACTTCTCATGTCCCTGGCTTTATCTGAACCGTAGAAGCATAACCATCCAAGATAGGGATCAGGTTAGCCAGGTATCGAGCTTATGCATAAGCTTTGGTCAATTTCTTGCTTGTTCGTTTGCATTATCTGCGTACGTTCAACAAGACCCAATACATGAGTATTTTTTGTCAACTCTGCATTACTTGTGTTGAACTGACCTTTGATTCGTTCGAGCTCTTAGAATTCTTGAATTAGTGCTATTAGATTCACGCTTTCTAGAACTGATTTTTCATTCCTGTTGGTCTTTGATGAGTGTCCTGCGTAGAACAGGTCTTTATAGTGCAAATTGCTATGCTGACGTGTCTTCCTCTGATTGTTATGGACTTCAGTGATAGAAATTTTTTTTAGATAATGATTATCTGATAGGATATATCATGCTAAGTACAGTATCATCGTTAACAAACTAACAATACCATACATAAACAATTGATTGATCCACTTGCCTCCTAATTAAAACAGAAATGGGCTGCTTTCAGAAGTTCCAAATCGGCGTCGAGCCGTCCTGTTGTATTACTAACATAGAGTTGCCGTCCATTATGAGCAGCACTACATTGCAATGGATCATTGGTTGGTCTGATATCTCTTACACATATACTTCCATGACATATCTGCCAATTAATTCATTGCTGTTATACTACTGGTAGAGCAGAAATTTCCATCCAGTATTAATTAGTTATGCTATGTGTCATAGTCATGATGGTAATGTCTGAACGATCTCAAGAACGTCTGGCCCCTTGGACTTTAGAAGCTAAAGAACTGGGGCAGGTGGCTGTTGGCCATCACTTAGCCTGTTTAGTTCGAAAAAAGAAATTTTTGGGTATCGCATTGGATGCTTGACCGGATGTTGGAAAGGATTTTCGGACACCAATAAAAAAAATTAATTTTATAACTCACCTGGAAACCACGAGACGAATCTTTTGAGCCTAATTAATCCGTCATTAGGGCAAGTACAACGGGTCGGCGAGACCCGTCGACATGCACTGTTTTTTTTGCGAAACCCCTCTCCCCCACGGCGCTCGCTTCGGCCCATCCGTCGTCTCGTTCGTCGACGAGGCCAGCGCGTGCTCCCAGGCGACGCGACGGCGATGAAGCCCGTTGTACGACGCGATGCGGGGAGGCGACGGAGGCGCGGGATCAGCTCTCTCGCGCGCGGAACAGGTTCGCGCCTTCCTCGCCCGCCAAAATCTCTCTCGCGCGCGTTGAAATAGCCCCCTCCCCCCTGCGTTCCCCATCCAACCCTATTTCGATCTGGCCACCATGTCGCGGCAGGCACGGAAGGAGGCGGCGGCGGCGGCGCAAGATATGCTGAAGTTGGATGTGGCTTGGATGCGCAAGCCAGCTGCATTGCAATCTCGAAAGGATGCGGCGGCGCCGATGCGGAAGGCCCAGGGAGGGAGGAGCTCGGGCGGCGTCGATGGTGCCGGAGCAGAGCAGTTCAGGGTTGGCGGCGCGTGTGCCAGAGCACCGGAGTTCGGGATATGGCACGGCTAGTCCACCACCAAGCTCCTTCACCGACTGCAGCTCCTTCTTCTAAGATCATTTCATATATAAATATATATAATTATTATATACATGTTTATTTTACAAGTCATGCGGAATATTTAAATGTACTGTGCATTGTCTTAGGTATGCAACAAAATGACTACAAAGATCAATTATACACTAGATCATCATGATTTGTGTCAAAGGATGAATTAAACACTCACAGACAGCCAAACCAACAACCCATTGTATAAGCTGTCTGTTTGTGTAAAAAGACAGCAAGCTGTCTACACGGTTGTACTTGCCCATAGCATATACGGGTTACTGTAGCATTTATGGTTAATTATGGACTAATTAGGCTTAAAAGATTCGTCTCGCGATTTCTCCCTAACTATGTAATTAGTTTTTTAATCTATATTTAATGCACGGATAATACTCTACATATGTGTTCAAAGATTCGATGTGATATTTTTTTGGGAAAAAATTTGGGAACTAACCCAGACCTTACTGCTACGTCACTCGCATGTGATGCCTCTAGCGACAAGTACCAGTAGTAGTAGCAGCGAGTAGGTAAATTAGAGCAACTCCCTGTGCATCTCTGGTTAATCTGTTCCCTTTTTTTTTTCAATATCTTGTTTTGCTGGTGATGGTTTGTTGGTTCATTGGTTGTGTGCTGCTGCTTCTGCTGCGGCGCTGTTATACGGATGCTGGATACAGTATATTGCAGGCCAACCATTCCGGGAAGGCCTGAACTCATATAAACAAGTACAGTACATTATCTTAAACTATAGTTGTTGCACATGCGATCCTGTGCTAAAATGAGCACAGAGAGAGAGAGAGAGAGAGAGAGAGAGAGAGAGAGAGAGAGAGAGAGATGAGCCCTTGTGTTGGCCACATGCCGGGCACAGGGATGAGAATGAGATGCCCGCACGCTTCCAATGCTGCCGCGCGGATGTCGTTGTTCGCATGTCGCGTTGCGTTGCCGGTTTGCACTGTGCAGGGGAGGGAGGGCATGAATCGATGATCTGTGTGACCCTGTCGCCTGTCGGCGTCTCCCGGTCATCCGCTCCTTCCTCCCAATATTGAATCCTTCTTCCTCTCGCCGTCGCCGGCTCGTTCTTGTTCACGGTCAAATCAGGCAGGAGTGTGTGTGTTGTTGCATGGTGTTTTCTGGCCAACATCCCAATTGGCCGCTAGAAGCTTCGGTATGCAACTCCCTCCGACTGTTTGGTGGCGCAACTTTTCACTGCACCGTGTAGGCGTGTACCATGTTCTTGTTATCGCGTATGGCAAATTGGCAACTGCTCTTGTGATATTTCTGGTGCCGGAATGGATCAACCATCTTTGTAACTAACTGTACCAGCAGTGGCGCGTAATTGCATAGCAGGAGGCGCCCTTGGCTGCATACGGCCTGTGAGACGTAGTACTACAGTTTCGTGGGTTTGACTTGAGTCCATGCCCAATTGCATTTGCATACTAGATCCTACCTAGAACTGTTGACTGTCGAGCAGTAGCATTAGCATGTCAGCACCACGCTAGCTGTCCAGCACACGAACGAATTTAAGTTTTTAACCCCCAAAACAGGAACAGGGAACCCGGAACCCGTAAAGGACGTCCAGGGAAAGACAGCGAGAGGTGAAAAAACCGGTGCCCCCGGTTTCCTTCCCAGCGACTACACGTTTGTACCTGCACGCATTGAATCCGTCTCCGGGCGCAATAAAAGAAAATCTCGTGGTACTATTGTGAATTTGTGATCGGCGTTGTGTTTGATTATTGGACCCATCTAGATAATTAGTACTACCTTCGCATCAGGCCTGCAAATTTTGTCTCGTGTTAGAAGAAGGATCGGATAGAATTCGATTGTCGTGGTATGAGCTTTTACGTTTATCTTCCTCTCCGGTGTTCTAGTCTGTCTTCAGATAATGTTTTGTTGCCTGCAAAATGAAAGTTATTTGAACATACCCGAGTGAAAGGTGAAAAGTTTGTATTAGATATCCGATGCAAAGTAAAACTATAAGGTTTATTACTCGTTACAATATGTAGTTTATTTTGAAAAACAATTTTGATCATATCCAGTTGCATAACTAGAATTGGGATTGTTTCGTTCAATCCAAAATTGATGTGTACTAGTAAGTACTCTTGTATGGCTGTCTGGGAGGAAGATTTGAAGAGGTCATTCATATTTCTTTTCTTAATTATTAGCCATTATTCCCTCTATTAACCTTAGTCCACATTAATACCTTCTTAATTACGCACTAATTGCGTACTTAACTGCATTTAGCTGGGTTGGCTCAAGCATGGGTACCGGTTCTCTAATCGCTAGCATGGAGGACAAGGAGAGTACATGAGACCCCTCACTTAGAACACAAGATCTCTGAAAGAGTTCCATCTGTTCCGTAAAAAGTAATTCATTCTTCAGTTTACACAAAACACATTAATTTACATTCGATTTGTGAGCAATATAATTTGAACCAGATAAATTTTATTACCACAATAAACCATTTTCTCACGCTCTTTCGTTCACATAAATGTCTCCCGTGAAACATCGTAATTTTATAGAATTTCCTCTAGAACTAAGCTCCGATCAGTTGACTTACGACTGATATTATTCAAATAGTAAAATACATCAGTGATTCTTAAACTTGTAAGGGGGTTTCATCTAGATCCACGATCTTGCAAAACGCGTATTAAGATCTCTTGACTTAGTTTAGTGTATCATCATGATCCAAAATCTCATTTGACCGTGGTCTTACTTGCATGTCTTACCTACATGACATGCATCGTGATTAATGACACAACACATTTTTATTTATTTATTTATTTTCTCACTTCTTCCTCTCTTTCTTTTCTCCCTTCTTCCTCCTCCCTCCGGCAAGCGATCTCTTTAGTAGGTATGTGCCATGTCACCGTTCACATAGCATGTTATGTAGGTAAGACCATGATTAAATAAGGCTTTGGATCGAGATGATACAATAAACTCGATGCACGCTTTATAAATTGTGAAACATCCTTATAAGTTTAAGAATTGTTAGTGTAGTTTACTTTTACTCAAATGGTGATGATGTCGAAGATCTAGCCAAGAATGAGGATTACGTGCGCCGGCAAGAATTTTAAATTTGTTCAACCAGGAATGTAATCCTTTGTTCAGTCATTAATAAAGCTCTATCTTTACTGTAAAAAAAACAATGGCGAAAAATATACTAAGTCAAATAACCCCTTAAAATCACAAATTAAATTTTGGATAACCCAAAAGCAGACCTAAAAGGAAATCTAGATAAATTTAGGATAAGAAAATTACTCAGGTAGGAGTAATAAATACTAATAGGGAGCCCTAGTAAAATTAGCAGTTAGAAATCCGGCTTACGTGTAGACTGGAGCATCAGAGCACCGTTTCTTTCCACCGCTCTCTCCCGAATAAATCCGTCCGCCATTAACGCCACCACCACCACCACCCACCCCTTCCCTTCTTCCATCCTCCGCCTCGCCTCGCCTCGCCGCGCCAGAATCCTCTCCGATGAGCCGGAGCCGGAGATGAGGTGCAAGCTCCACCCCTACGCCAACGCCGTCGGCGTCTGCGCCCCCTGCCTCCGCGACCGCCTCCTCGACCTCGCCGCCCAGCGCGACGCCGCCGCCGACGCCGCCGAAGCCGACGACCACCACCACAGCAGCAGCAGCAGGGCCTCCTCATCCCTCTTCGCGCGCTCCGTCTCCCCCTACGCCGCGGCGCGCCGCTCCGACGCCTGCGCCTACGCGTCATCCTCCTCCTCCTCGGCCGCCGCCGCCCACCACCACCACCACCACCCCAACCTCCTCTTCTTCCGCACGCCGCAGGTCGGCCCCGCCCGCGCGGCGGGTGGCGGCGATGAGCCCGAGCCGCGCGGCAAGAAGGTCGCGCGCCGCAGGTCCTTCCTCGCCGCGATCTTCGGCGGCGGCGGCAGGGGGCGACACGCCCGGGGCGACGACGACGTCGTCCGCGGCGGTGGCGTGAGCGCGAAGGATCCTCCCCGACGGTCCACCTCCTGGCTCTCCTCGATAGTCCGACGCAAGCGGCGGCCGGAGGCCGCGGCGACGGCGGCGGAGTCGCTGCCGCCGCCGCTGGACGAGGCGCCCGACTCCCCCGGAGGCAGTACCACCAGTAGCTGGTGGTTCCCTTCCCCCTCGCCGGCGAGGCAGCACCGCCGCAGGCACACCGGCGTGGGCGCCAGCGGGGACGGGATCTCGGGGTTCGCCGTGTGCCTCAGCCCGCTCGTCCGGCCCACCTCCGGCGGCGGCGGCGGACGCCGGCGATGCCAGCCGCCGGATCCGTCCCCCCTGGGCGACACCCACCGGCGCAACCTGTCGGCCGGCGGCGCCGCCTCGTTCGGCCGCAACACCTCCCGGAAGCTCGCCGACATGGGTAGGTTCCGATGACGCCATCTTCGCTCGCTCGCGCGCTTTTTTTTTCCCTCCTTTTCTTTTTCATTTTTTTTTCGGGGGCAATTTTATCTTTGATTTTTTTTTCCTACAAAATTTGACCAAACATTTCGGTACTCTCGAGGAGGAGATGTGACGATATGAATGGTAGTGTTTGCCGCTACGTGTTGACGAGAGGCGAAGAGAAATGGAAAAAAGAAATTCAGTGGAAATTTGGGTTTGTTTATGGTTAGGCAGTAGCAGCAATGTAGCATACTATACAAATATTGATATTGGGAAGAATCCTTCAAAATGTTTATATATTTTCTCTCCCTACCATGTGAATGGAAAAAAAAAGGAATGAAACAAATCAATTAGCTGAGCTGTGTGCTCTCTCTGACCTCCTCAATTGCGACCTCAGTTTTGTTCTTTGCTTGGCTTCTTCTCCCCCCCCCAATTTGATTAGCAATTTCGTTGTGTGTTGCGTAGATGACTCAGCTCATGATGGTTGTATTGCAGACTTCAGTAGTGGTGGTTGATTTCTTGTATTTCTGTGCAAAATTTCAAACATCTGGCCGCGTTTCAAACAGTTAAACCAGGATACGATTGACAACAGTACACGTACGTATGGCATCCTTAATTTCTCTAGTTTGTATTACTAGTGTACAACCGCTCTTCACTTCAGTACAGAGAAGATGCAATGTTCGAAATGTGAAGCTTGCAAGATTCTCCTCAAGTAGTAGCAGCAGCAGGTAGATGAAAAACCAAACGTGCTACAAAGACACGCGTGAGTGTTACTATTAACTACTGTATTACGGTTTACGAAGAGGAAGAAAATGCGATTTGCAAGCAAGAACCTTCATTCTCTCTGGTCGTTTGATTGGTTAGATTTGCAGCTGCAGGATCCAAACATCAGATGCGCCGTATCACTGGCAGTTTCATCGTCTCGAATAGTGATCGACCATAAATTTCATTGTCGCCTCCCTCATCGAATCATTAACTGCTGAATTCGTGTCGTCTCTACCTCTCGATTGATTGGCCGATGCAAAACGTTTGTAGTACGTACTACGTTTACAGGCCATTGCTACGTTACACGTATACAGGCCATGTAGTAATTACGAATTAACAGCAGGTATTAACTGAGGTAGGTCGTGGCTAAATTAAGCTGCACGGCACTGCTTATATACAAGGGATACACATTCACCGATCGGTCGATTTCCGTGAATTGGTGAATTGTTGAATCATGTTGCGGCTGATCCAAATTGATGTGACACTTCCACCCACACCGGCACTATCTTCTCCTGGAAATGGTCCCAAAATAAACCCCAGCGTTTATTTAGCCGTGAGCTGCTTACCTGCTACTAGTGGTAGCCTGGAGCAGTGTGTATTAAACAGAGTTGATTTCTAGCTCTTGAGACAACATGGAGCTATATATGTGGCGAAACGCAATAGAAATCGTACAATATGAGGAGCTATACATGTGCCGGAAACGAAGATTCGATGAGCTTGATGGTCCAACAATGGGCGGCTGGGTTAGTGCTCGATCGATCGATCGCCTACCTCGGGGGAATAGCCATGGCATCAGTCACGTTGAGACGAGATGATGAACGCATGCTTTGGGCGATCATGGCGCCTTGCCGCGCGTGGCATATTTCATCTCCTAAAATCCATATCTTATAAACCTATGAAAAAGCTATTTCTGCTCCTACTACTCAATTACCCATGGATAAAGAACATGTGTATGTAACTGTATCGCAAACTGCACTAGGATTCTCTTCACCTTAAGCGTCATTGGCTGCCAAATTCCATCTTTACCAATGAACTACGATCTGCTCTGCTACACCACACGATGTACGTGCTCTTTTCTGGTCTTTTTACACAGAACAAACGCCTTTCCTTTCCTTGTAGGAACCGCGCTTTCTCACATGACCGAGGCGCGTGACCTTGCATGCATGCCACCAACTTAAATTTTTTTTTGGTCAAAATCCATCAAATTGCCTACCCCAAAGTGCATTCCCGTCAGTCGCTTTTCTGCCAAAAGCTCTTTTCAGACGTTAGCAAAGGCAGTCTTGCTTAACAGCGTACACACACGGGATGAGTAAAGACTACGATCCTACTACTAGAGCAGTAAGTACTCACTCCATTCCATTATAAATACATCTGAGATTAAATGTGATATTTCATAATACAACTGTTCTGATTCGTTGTAATATGAAATGTCACATCCAGTCATAAGTGCATTTATATAAGGATGGAGGGAGTAGTAGTAACTGGTAAGGAACTACTAGTGAGTGGTTACATGCAAAATTTCATTACCTGTTCCTTCAGGAATTGGGCGAAATTTCACCACATTTTCGTGCGGGAAACCTTCAAGGGCGACATGAATCACAGCACGTAGAGCATGCGTTCGTCGATGGCAACGTATAGCCGTAGGTCCAACAGAACTGCTGCTCATCATGTGAAACAACCAGTAAAGGAGACGTCTAGCCGAGCACAGCACTACCTACCAATTAAGCGAGTGAAGCCCACCTGAGCTAGTCCCCACATCTTCGAGTGATGTTGTATCCTACCTGCATTAGTAAATTTTGAGCAAATTAGGTTGCAGAATTTGCAAATTTGCAGGACATTCATTCACCTTGCAATTCAGCTCTCCTGTTTGCCATGTCATACATGTATGGAGTTGAACTGGGGCTTTCTTTCAGTGCGAAAGATGGCAACAAGGTGGTCCGATGACGATGACAACACAGCTACCAGTCCAGTTTCCTCAATGCATTGTCACCCTCTTCTTTTGCTTCTCAGCCTTCTCCTTCTGTGACTTGCAAGAGCATGAACATAGGCTTGTCTCTGTCGGAAAAAGCACCTGAAAGCACAAAATGATCTGGTCATACTTATGTTTAATCACTGGTGAATACAGGTCAGATTCAACAGCAAATGTGTAACGCATCTTTTCTATATATTGTGTCTATGAAACACCCTAAACAGATGGGTGGGAAATACCCTGCAACTTGCTCTCATTGTTTTTTGTCACCCCAGAGTATGTATAAGTCAACTACACAGTGTGCACCAGGTATGAAATGCAGCAGCCAAGCGCGCGGCTTTTGGCGTTGAAAGAAACTTCGTCGAGCAGTAGAGGCCCTATTGTGTCTATGCATTGTGAACAATTGCTAGTGGTTGGTGCTCGATGGCATGCTGGAAAATGGGGGTGGGAAAAACTTCCATCCACATCTACTTGCTCCCTTTCTACCAACTACGAAGTATGAAGGATTCATCCAACCAAAAACACTATGAAATGAAATATTTTTATGAGACTGAAATGACTAGTGGATGAGTGGGAGCATCTTGTCAAAAAGAATATTAGTAGTTGATTTGATTGCCATATCCCACTTAAGTAACCAACCTTCCTTCTCACGCGAAAGTGCCAGGCCAAAAGCCAGATTGCCTAGTCGGTGTTGATCAGTACCATTAGTATGGGGGCTAATCTATCAGTGGCAGTCTGACTGTGATCAAGCAAGCAGTGTGATCAAGTGCTCAAAGCTCTACTGATAAATTGAGAATCATGCTACAATTAGTCAAAGTAGTACAGCGTCTTGATGTTGTCACTTTGTCCTTTATTAGGCAGCAAATCTGATTCCAACATTTTATGCAGTAGTGTATCTTGGGAGAGTTTCCTCTAGTTTTCCAATGTCAGAAAATTTGAAAACTCTATACTAATGGAAGGTAAGCCTTTTTCTTCTGGTTGACGGCTTGACGCTAAGATGCACCTAACCCAAAAGTACTTGTGAGAAACAAAATCTAGAACTTCACTGTGTTCAAATGCTAAATATGAGTACATGACCAGTAGAACATGTCCGTGATATATCTGGTAATCTACTTCAGAATTTTCACCTCTGAAGTAGATTACCAGATAAGATTGTAGGAACTGAGCAAAACAATTGTGAAAAGGTGACAGCAGGTCACCAAATTGAGATGTCTACAAAGACATTGAGCTTTGTGGCCTGTGGGTCACAATTGCTTCTCATCGGCCTATGGTGGCAAACAAAATCATCCCAACTGTTGTGAGCCTTCATGTTCACTACATCTATGGGCACATAGAAAATTAGTGGAGCTAAATGATTGGCATACCTCACTGTGGTCGATGGGACCCAAGTTTCACATCCAGATCCACACTTCTGAAAGGAGGCAACGAATTCAGTACCGTACAACATTACGATAGGTTGGCAGAAAAGGTACCATAAAGCACAAACAAGGGCATACAAGCACCAGTTCCTGAGCACAGAATGCAGAATAAGACAAAATGGGAGTTGTTAAATAGGGCTTATTTTCCATTAAAAAAACATGACGCTTTTTAATTTCCAATAGACCTTAGATGACCAAAAGGCACATGGTTGTTGCTTGTCCCCTTAAAACTGATGCAGAAATGCCTAGAATTGACAAATATCAAATAAAGAAAGTATATAGTCCATCGTTCACTTACAGTGTACCTACAGAGTTTGGTTCGAGGAAAGGTTGGTGCTAGCATCAAAGAGTTCCTGATCATTTGGAATAAGTCTTTCCATCATCACCTCATTCCTAATATCCACAACGCTAGCTAACTGAAATGAGAAACAGGATCATCCCAGAAAACCATGATAATAGATTATTATATTCCTCAAACAAAATGGACGCACAGTAGTTTCTGAGACTGTAAGTTCCTTGATAGTCCTTCAGTTACACTTAGCTTAATCCAGGTGTTTGGAGTCTATCAGGATTATTGAGCATTACATGCTGATATTTGCAGAAACATCAAACATGTAAGTCAAGCATAAGAAATGTTCTTTTTAAAAAAAAAAAAAATAGGCACATACGTGCACTTCCAGCAACATGCTTTTGCCACCAAATGTCCATCACCCCAACACAATAACGACGAGTAATTTATATAAATGAAAGTACAACAAAACCCCAGATTTCTGACCTAGATTAAGTTCACTATACAAAGAGATCAAGAGAACATTTTGTTGTTAAATAAGGGTCATTGTTTGTTCAGTACAAGCTGATGCATACGGCATACCAAGAACTTACTGTGCCTAATGTAGCAGGAAGACTTCAATAGGGAGATCTGCATACAGTAGAGACAGTGCAGTTGCTTGTTCGCATTCACTATTGTTAGCTACTGAAGAAATAAAGCTCCAACCTTGCTGTCAGTACACTGTTGTAATCATGTGACCCTCAACAAAGAACCAGGTAACGTACAAGGCTCACAGGTTTATGGTAGCTATCTATGGTAGGAAAAAACACAAATTTCAATTTACGTATACCTATCATTGCAAAAGAAGCTTTAACATTAGCTGTACATCATGTGCTTGATTTCAACTTCTCTTGGGTTCCCTTGTTTCAGAACATGGTGGAGAAATGGTTCATATCTATTCTGTGCTGACGGAAAGTCGGCAAGGTGTTATTAATAACACAAACTTCATCATGAAAACTGAAGAGAAACATGCAAGGATGGGTAGCTACAGTTGCATCCAGCACTACAACTATAAATACAGCCCGACCTCTAATGCAATAGAAAACATTTTCACAAAATTAGATGTAACAGGGGTAAGAATGCAGAGGACAAGCAATGTGATATTATAAAAAAAAACAGATGTAGATCATGCTCTAAATAAAAAGTCATATGTTGAGAGAACCAGTCAGGCAACATGTCAAATGTAAAGATCAAACCATAGCAGAAGCAATCAGTGCCGTTATCTGTGTCATACAAGCCTGTTTGTTTATTTTCTCTCTGTTAATTTACTAAAGTAACTGTAATTTCTGTGCAGAAGTCAAAGCTAATATCTGTCTTCCAACATAAGGTGCATCCCACATTACACATGCCCAATGGAAACAAATAAAAGCAATAAAATGTGAAATGATTGTTAGCAGAGTGAAACTTTCAGTGCTAACTCTCTACTGAACCATTGAAGAAATTGTCATTTGGAGTTTCCAAATTTATAGCTAATTACAAACAACATACTGTTGACTATAGTATTCCATGCTTAAAAAGACAAATGTTATAAACATAAGAACAAACAGATAGAACAAATACAATTCTATTAGATAGAGTTTCCAGTCATATCTTTAAGAATAACTGACCAAGCATCCAATCAGCCTAATTAGACCACAATATGGTATAAAAAGCAATAGATAAGCAAATCTACCAAAAAGCAAGGATGCTACTTAGTATCATCTATAAGTAAATTCTGTGACCTCTGCTTTCTGTAAAACATTCTACAGATGAGTAGAAAATTGCACGAACAGGACGTTTGGGCAGAATGTGTACACTGTGATTTTTCCAAATGCGCTGGAGATGTATAAATAGGATTGGTAAGGCCGCTAGTCTTACTAAAATATAAGCTTGGCGGTAAGCAGCTGGTTCTGCATGCAGATGCACAGTCTGGCAGCAAAGTTTGATCCTCTGAATGTCCATTCTGGCTTCTTTCTCACCGCAGCAAGCATCCAATATAATCCTGAGTATTGAGAAATATTGTTGAAGTTGAAGCTGCACAAAATTTGATGTCCCTGAGTAGGAATCAGACATCTAGTTAGGCACTTAGGAACCAGCCCAGCTGATTGCAAGAGATTTGACAGGCACATTACAGCTCTATACCATAGTTTATGTTCACCACGAGTTAGTTGATTTCTTGCAACTCCAGCAGCATCAGTCAGCTATCTTGTTAACTGCCCCTTCAGAGTATGAGAGTAGTAGTCATTTTCATCAATTCAACACTCATGGCATTTCAGCAACCTTTGGGGAATCGACATGGTCCAGATTTCCTATTTCCTCATCACCCAATTCATCTGTATCTGAACCCAAGTCCTCTGTGGATCCTTTGTGATCATTCTCTTTGAACGAAGGTAGTAAAACTGCATTTTTCTTGTAGCTCCATACAAGCATTGAAATGTAGTCCTGTGGAGTTATAAGTCCTTCCTCCCTAATGCAGCTTCGCTGCTCATCCAGGGTTTGTTGATCTGTGAGCTTTATATACTCCAGCAAAATCTTTTCATGGTCAGGGCGCCATCCACTTGGTAATGGTGTGTAATCAGGATCAGGAACCATCGACATCCGTGTATACTGAAGTCCATCAATTGAGTCCACAAGACCCATTCTCAGCAGATTGTGGTACTCCGGCGACTGCCCTTTCTTATCCTTCAATGGTCGACTAAGATTCCTTGAAGCAATCTTGTAGACCTTTGCCCTCGACCTCAATTTGTATTTGGCAGCATATAACTTTGCCAAGGACCCCCTTATAATGTATGAGCAGAAGTTGACAACCTTCTTGCGGTTATCAGCATAACGATACCATTCTGCCATTGTCAGCAAGAGCTTATTCATCTGCGCGTTTGTGTGAGCTTGTGTGGCATGGAACATCCTGAAGCACGGTTGTGGGTCTGGTTCACGGTCCCCCTTTAAAAACTCAAGCTTCCGGAACTGCTTGATGCACTGCTTCAAACTGGCTGTCACAGAGAGCAGAGTCCCAACCCCCTTCTCGCTGATGATCTTGCCTCCAGTGGCTGTGTAACGGAGAGTCGGGTACACAACACGACGACACAGCACATGATCAAGGAACATGATCCCTTTAGTGATATGCTCGATCGGGAGGCTCTCGTTGTCAAGCTTGATCCTGAACCGCTGGTCGCAGAATTCAACAAGCTGTTTTCGGAGCACTGCTGCATCTGCCCTCGGACCCCTCACCCCGATTAAGAAATGGCCACCGAATCGAATGTAGTCCACCTTCCTCGTTTTGTCAGGGCCGCTCGTGGGGACAAACTCTGGCCATGAAGTGTTCCCCTGCTCAACTCCATCCTCCCCTCCCACAACATCCGACTTGGACGGCCTGTACAATTCCTTAATCTTCTCCTCCATCCATTTATCAAGCTCATCTAAGCACACATTGGCAAGCAATGGGCTCAGCACTCCACAATGCCCCCAATCAGGCTGGGTGAGTGCCTCCTCCGGCGCAAACCCAAAGAATGTCTGTAACCAGTAGGGGTCAGGCTTCGGCTCTCCCTCTGGAAGCACCTTCTTCTTCTGGTACTTCCTCTTCTTCTTCTTCTTCGCCGCATCTTCATCGCCGGGCCTCGCGGTCACAGGTGGGGTGAGCAATGCCGAACGAACCAAATCAACGACCTTCTTGTCGCGCACATCGCGGATAAGCGCGCCGACGACCAGGGCAGGGTCCGGGGAGTGGAGGAGCGGGGAGAGGTCACCCTTGATGTACCAGAGGTAGGGCGCGAAGCTGCGGCGGATGGTGCGGATGGCGGCGTGCGGAGATCGGCCGGGGCGAAAGGCGAAGGACTTGGGTGAGAACCTCGCCTCGTAGACGGGCTCGAGCAGGAGGAGGAGGAGCTCCTGCACGACGCGGTCCTGGAACGGGGCCGGCCCCGGGGTGGTGAGGAGGGCGCGGAGCTTGCGCTTGGAGAGCGTGGCGGGGTCCTGCGCCGCGGCGGCGGCGCGCGGGGAGCGGAGGAAGGGGGTGAGGCGGTTGCCGAAGCGGAAGCGGGCGTCGAGGACGGCGTTGCGGAGCGCGAGGAGGGAGGAGAGCGTGGAGGCCGGGATGGAGGAGCGGGGCAGGTAGGAGCCCGTCTCGTCGGCGTAGGCCTTCTGGTACGCGAGCACCCAGAGCTCGAGGCGCGACAGGAACGGCGACAGCGACGGCGGCGGTGGCGCTGCGGCGGTCGGCTGCGGGCGGAAGGAGGAGACCCACAGCGATGCGGTTATGGCGACCGGATCGTCGCGGAGGAGCTGCGCCGGGTCCAGTGGATTGCCGCCGCCGCCCTGGCCGGTGATGGCGTCGGCGGCGACGAACTGGTGGCGGCGCGGGGGAGGCGGCAACGGGGGGTGGTGGGCGAGGGAGGAGGAGGAGGAGGAGAAGGCGCGGAGGCGGAGGAGGGGGGCGAGGAGCGCGCGGCGAGGCGGAGGCGGAGGCATCGGGGAGGAGAAGGAAAGCTAAACCCTCGCGGTGGCCGCCGTCGTCGTCGTCGTGGGGTTTTGTGTGTTTTCTCGCGCCGCCGCTGCCGCCGCCGCAACGGAGTGGTCAGCTGTGGCGGGGATGGAGATTGGGCCTACTGGATGTTGGGCTTGAGGTATTGGGCTTCTACGCGATGTACATGGGCCTTTATCAGTGATGGCCCGTTAGGTTTTATAGCGGACGACTATTAGCAGTGGAGGCCCATTAGCTTAGATAGCGGAGGGCCTTTGGCAATGGAGGCCCGTTATTCTCGAGTCGTCTATGGTAAGAACGGCCCGCAAATCAAAATATAGAGGTCAAAATTATATAAGTGGTCGAGATTAAAGTAGTAGTCAACGGTGCTAAGTAATAACCCTCCATCTACTTTTAATAGTCATATTTTATCTTGGCATAAATGACTAAGAATAAGAGCAGGTACAATAGCAGGTTATAAACCAGCTATAAAATATTTTAATGAGATAAATGAAGAGAGAGAAGAGCAGCGGGCTACAGATATGTAGCTAGCTGCAGCACGGACTCCAATACGTAATATGTGTATGACAGGTGGGACCAAATATTAATAATATAGTAAGCAACTATTGTATAAATTGGCTATTACATTGACTATAGATGATTTGGAGCTAGTAGTAGGCTATATTATTAAACTTGCTCTAAGTAATTATACTTATCATCCATTTAACATACTACTAGTTATTCCTCGTAAACAAGCGATTTATTAATATTTACATTACTCGATGCCCATGTAGCCAATCTTGTGTGGAAGAATGAAAAGTCACGCATTAAATCCGAGAAAGTCATTAAGATAATAGATGGTTGTATTGAAATATAACTATTAAAAATAAATTTTTCAGATTTAGAAATATGTTTATTAAATGTATATGGAGAGAGTACTGCGTATGAAGAAAGTAGATCGTGTTGAACGGTGAGGAACCCAGAAAATGGCAAGAGATGCCTCGCCACTTGTAGTCTTGCCCTGTCTCATCTGCATGTCGGCTATATGAGTTGATATAATATAAAATTTTATATTACGATAAATTATAAACCAAATTATCCATCACCACTAAAAAGTTGTGAAATATCTACTCGATCATCTTTAACCAAAACAAATATACTGTGTAAAAATATGTTTAACGAAGACTTGACTAAGCTAAGTTCGTGTTCAATATGTTTCTATGTTTTTTCTCAAACTTTGTTAAATGACTTACAATAAACTACTACATTTATTTCATATTATAAGTCACTTTAATTTTTTTCATAATCAAACTTTCTGCATTAAAATAACTTACAATAAACTTAAGTTTGATTAAATTTATGGAAAAATTAATAACATTTCTAAAACCAAATTAGTTTCATTAGTGAAGTGACGTAGCTCAACTGGTTAGGTTTCCTTGCATTGGAATCAGCCCACCCACATTTAAACGGCACCTGTGGTGACTTCATCAATATTAAGTTATGCTAGCTCGGCCTTCTGGTGGTGCTAGGATGAGTGTGCACATCTTATATCCACACGCGTTTGTATTGTGTTTTAAAAAATAATTTTATTATAATTAACATTTAATATATTTTTATAGTATAGTATGTATTTTATATTAAAAATATTGCTATATTTTCTATAAATTTAATTAGACTGGACAAGTTTGACATGAATAAAGTCAAAGCGGGTTATAAAATGAGGAAGTATCGTCCATTCCCTCGTTAAAAAAAGCAATTTGTAACTATAGTTATGAACGAGTACTGGTCATGTCTAGATTTTATTTATAGCCATTTCGTTTTGGGTCGAGAGCAGAGGGAATATCTTGCATGTAAGTAAACATAGAGTTAAATCAAAGACATTTGTTCAGTTGTACCATATTCAACATACCTATAGCTTTGAAGCTACCGAAATTCTTGTAGCGGACAGCAGCAAGTGCCGAAAAATTCTACTTCATCCGTTTCACAATGTAAGTCATTTTAGTATTTTTCATATTCATATTAATGTTAATGAATCTAAATATATATATATATATGTCTAGATTCATTAACATTAATATGAATGTGGGAAATGCGAATGACTTACATTTTAAAACGGAGGGAGTACCGCCAAACGTAATATTACCAGGTTGGAGGACCGATCTGAAAAATATTCCGTGCAAGTACACATTGGACGTGGACCGCATTGCATACAAGTACAAGAGTTGAAACGCTTGGTTCTCGAGGCTGCCACGTCAGAGCTTGAGCCTTCGAAGCGATCCCACGTGGCAGCACGTGGAAGGCTCGTGGAGATCGCGGGCAGCTCCCCGCCTCTTATCGACAGGGCCACCTCGCCCGCGAAAATTATTATTTTTTTCGCCTTCCTTTAATAATACGCACGTATTTATACGATCTTACTTAAGCGAGCACCATTAGCATGCCACGTGTCACCGTAACAATCTACGTAGACCCCGCAAGTATTTGTATTCACTAAACTTTCGTAAACGAAACTTGCAAAACACATCAAACCGGTCAAATTTGGACAGAAAATTCAGCCGAGATCGCAAATATTCGTTTCAAAACAAATTACTGTAACCGGCGACGCAGCCACGGGACGTGGATCGGACGGCGCGGAGGTGGACGGAGGAGGGATCAACGGCTGAGATGCGTTCCTGCGTGCCACGTGGTGCGCCGCGAGCAGATAAGGGTTCAGGGCGTCGCGACGGGGTCGAGAGATAAGGGGCGCGCGGCGAGTGGCGCGCCACGTCGCGTGGCCCAGATTGCGTTCTCCGGATTAGAGATTTCGAAATATCTTTTCGCGGAGAAAGAAAAAAAAATTAGACAAAACCACCCTCGGTTGAGGAAAAATATGGGGAGTATTTGTGCGTTTTTATTTTTGTTTTTGGGTCGCACTGTTCGATCGTAGCATCCATGACCACTGTGGCATCGCTGTCTTTGCTGCCGCACTTGCTCATCAAGCCTTCCTTCAGGTGTTGCTCCAGAAAGGTGAGTTCTTCTTGTTGTTCCTTGAATCTGTTTTTGTTGTTGTTGTTTGGCGATTCTTGAATTTGTTTTGGGGTATCTGGCGATGGGAGGAACCATGTTTCTTGTTTGGTTTTTGGGTTCAGGTGGCCATTCTTGATGAAAAACTGAGTGTTTGAGTTTGAGCAGTGCAATGGAGTTACCATTTTTGTTCTTCTGATTGGATTCTTTGTGATGGTTGATGTTTTTGTTCAGACAATGGTTTCAAGGTTCTGTGATTCTTCAGACCCCATATCTTAAAACCTGTTGTATTGAAGTAAGCAAAAAAACAAATCTTGATCAAGGACAGCCTAGTTGCCAATTTTTCTTTGCAAATCTGAATGCAATTCAATCTCTTTCTTCCAGCAAATGCGTGCAGCTTTCCCCCAGTAACCACAGGCTTATCTCTGACACTGATTTAACTAGATTTTGCTAATCTCTTTGATACTAGTTTGTCTGCTAAAATAGAGTGCATGTGAGGTTGATGAAAATTGATGGTGACCTTGCTGATTGAAACTACACAGGGTGTTGGTAGATATGGAGGAATCAAGGTGTATGCGGTGCTCGGTGATGATGGAGCTGACTATGCAAAGAACAACGCATGGGAGGCCTTGTTCCATGTCGATGACCCGGGGCCAAGGGTTCCAATTGCAAAAGGCAAGTTCTTGGATGTCAACCAAGCTCTTGAGGTGGTCCGGTTCGATATCCAGTATTGCGATTGGAGGGCGCGGCAGGACCTCCTCACCATCATGGTTCTTCACAACAAGGTAGGAAGCATTGGACAAGTCACAAGTTCAGAGAAGAGGTCAAAGCTTTCATAGTCTGAATTTTACAGATCATGGGATTCAAAATTGGACTGCATACTGAATAATGCTTGAGGTTGAAGTTTCGGATGACTGACATAGGTTAACTTAAATGAATTTTTGAACATTGAAATGCAGGTGGTAGAGGTTCTTAATCCTTTAGCAAGGGAGTTCAAGTCAATTGGAACCTTGAGGAAAGAGCTTGCAGAATTACAGGAAGAATTGGCAAAAGCTCACAATCAGGTATTGTACTTTCAGGAGACAGGAGCCAAATGAAAAACTTCAATATTATATGGATTCTGATGTTTTACATGTCTAATCCAGGTTCATCTGTCGGAAACTAGAGTATCATCTGCCCTTGATAAGTTGGCACAAATGGAGACCCTTGTCAACGACAGACTGTTGCAAGATGGAGGCTCTAGCGCATCTACAGCCGAGTGCACTTCCCTTGCTCCAAGCACGTCATCAGCGTCCCGTGTTGTAAACAAGAAACCTCCTCGCCGGAGTCTGAACGTGTCTGGTCCAGTGCAGCCATACAATCCCAGTCTGAAGAACTTCTGGTACCCAGTTGCTTTCTCCAGTGACCTAAAAGACGATACAATGGTAAAAACAACGTGCGATTCAGGCATTTTTTTACGAGGTCAGAGTTAGCAGTTGCAGAAACTTATGTTTATTTGATGTGGTTTGCGCATTCTCAGGTGCCAATAGATTGTTTTGAGGAGCAGTGGGTAATTTTCCGAGGAAAGGATGGGAGACCTGGATGTGTTATGAACACATGTGCTCACAGAGCTTGCCCTCTTCATCTTGGCTCAGTTAATGAGGGCAGAATCCAATGCCCTTACCATGGTAAGAAAAGACAGCTTTACATGAACTTTCATTTCTGCATGCTTCCGCATTTATTTCTGAAGTCTTCAGATGAAAATTTGCCAACAGAGAGAAGTTGCGAAAGTAGTATTTCAGTTTTTTTTTGTTTTCATAACCTTCAGGTTGGGAGTATTCAACTGATGGAAAATGTGAGAAAATGCCATCCACAAAGATGCTCAACGTGCGCATCCGGTCATTACCATGCTTTGAGCAAGAAGGAATGGTTTGGATATGGCCTGGCAATGACCCACCGAAGTCGACTATCCCTTCTCTGCTGCCTCCTTCAGGATTTACAATTCACGCAGAGGTAAAAGGAGATCATGTCATGCTGCAGCAACCATACTATGTGGAACTGTCCTGTGCATTTCAAGATTTTTACTGGACTGAAAAGTAATGGAATTGTTCTTGATCATCAACAGATAGTGATGGAGCTACCAGTGGAGCATGGACTTCTTCTGGACAATCTATTAGATCTTGCTCATGCTCCTTTTACTCATACATCCACCTTTGCCAAGGGTTGGAGTGTTCCAAGGTATTTACATACATATATTTTCACAGCCATGTGGAATTCTTTTTTTTTTTTTTAGAAAATGGATAGCCATGTGGAAATGTCTTCAGAAATCATCATGCTGATGCTATGTTCATTTCCCAGCTTGGTGAAGTTCTTGACACCTTCATCTGGGCTTCAAGGATACTGGGATCCATACCCGATCGACATGGAATTTCGACCACCATGCATGGTGTTGTCAACCATTGGCATCTCAAAGCCTGGAAAACTAGAGGGGAAGAGCACCAAGCAATGTTCGACGCATCTCCACCAGCTCCATATCTGTTTGCCCTCCTCTAGGAATAAAACCAGGCTGCTCTACCGGATGTCTCTCGACTTCGCTCCATGGATCAAGCATGTCCCTTTCATGCATATACTATGGTCACATTTTGCTGAGAAGGTGAGTCCGAAAAATTCAGAGCAACTTCATACTAAACTGTTGTCCATCTCATGTCATTACAGTTTGCACCTGACTATAGTATGCGGTTACCTTTGTTTTGCATACTGTCCTCTATACAACATCTATAATAATCTTGTATGATCTTTCTGCAGGTCTTGAATGAGGATCTTCGACTCGTGCTCGGGCAGCAAGAACGGATGATCAATGGCGCAAATGTCTGGAACTGGCCAGTATCATATGACAAGCTTGGTATCCGGTATCGGTTGTGGAGAGACGCCATTGAGAGGGGAGTAGACAGGTTGCCATTCAGTAACCAAAGTGAGAGTGGATCATAGTAGCTGCATTGCCAATAGCCTCTTTTCAATTCTTGTCGTATTTCTTGGCGAGATGAAGATGAAGATGAAGATGATGATGGCCAGAACTAGTCAGTGGATGTATATGCACAGTTTGTTTAGGCGTGCGTCCCTGCATGGTTGGTTCACCATCTCCCTGAGCTTCGTTGCAGATTGAATTGGGTTCTGGAGAGGAAAGGCTAATGGAAGGAGAGAATGATAGGCGACGTCATTCTGTGTAATTTTAAGTGTACACTAGCGACAGCATCACGGGATGCAATTGTAATCTGAGGTTGATTTGTTTTTCTTCTTTTTTTTTTCCTCCCCTTTTACCCATGTAAAAGTCGATCGCATGTCACGCTATGATGCATATATATGATCATACTATTGATTATTGAGCCATGAAGAACATGTAGCACGTTAATCAGAGAGACATGGCTTGAGTCTAAACGTCACATTCCATTCTCATTCTGCTTATCTATTTGGCAGATTCTGTGTATGGTTTGCTAATTCAGAACAGTAAGGTCTCTTGATAAGTTGAGACATGGCAATCTGTTTGGATTATTTTGCAGCAATACATCATGATGCGGCCTTTGAATTTTGATAATTCGCTACAAAATCCCCGGAGCTTCCTTTGCTTTGATGGGCTCCCACTACATGCCTTGGTTGGATGAGCCACAATTCAGGTCCATTCACATATGTGGGCCTAGAATTTGAACTAAAATTTCGGATGAGACTGGTGAGAGAGGCAAAACCCCAGCAAAGGCACCAGACCCAATACAACTATAATGTACATGGCTACATGTTCACTGCTAGCCTATATTATCTATCATCTATTCCCCTAAAGCGCTAGATTTACATACAAACTGTACATGGCTACAGCCTAAAAAGGTTCACCAACATGCAACTGGTTGTTGTATTCAGAGTTCTGGTTAGTAGTGACCTTCGAGTTGCTGGTGTTGGCTCTCATATATGAGACCACAATCCATTTCTTTTCTTAGCTCTGCATAGAGGATGGCAGGCGATCAACCCTGCAATCAAATTGAGTTGGAATGAGAATTACAGCAGTGTTAACTATTCTGCGAGGTTAGAATAAAATACGGTGTGCTTGCCTTCCTAGCTGGGACAATTCAGGCTCCTTCAGCAACAAATCTTCTAGGTTGCCAGACTTAGCATCACTGTGCCCAGGAAAAACAAGAACAGCATTAGGTAACTTTGCGGTTTATACATGATGAGAATGCAATGGGAGCGCACCTGACATCAAGAGACAAAAGTCTATGATGAATTGAGTTATCGGAGCCAACATAGGTAACAACCAGGCTACCGGCATCTGGATGTGGCCAGCTTCGGGTAGTAGGAAATCTAAGGACAAATGTTCCTGGCTTCATAAGCCGGTCCCTGGAACTTCTTAGCGCATTCTCAGTTTCCTGTAATGTAATCAATCCCTCTATCCATCTATGTGCTGTGAAATCCCATAGCCTGTTTATTTTGTCTTTTGACAAAGCAATGGCAACTGGGTATAACCAGGACCATAGCTTATCAAACTCGTCTCTTCCAATGTCATCACCACAACCAGCAATTCCTCTTAAAACCTCAAAATCCTGAAAAAAATATATTGCATGAAATTAAATATCTTGATTTGTGCTATTTTCAAAAGTGCACCTTAGAGCTTTAGGTAAGATTTAACACTCTTATGTTCAAGTAAAACAGTTTTACCTGCTCCGACAAACCCCTGTTGGAAGGATGGACTATTTCCAAAAATTTTGCTTTCATTTCAGGAACTGCAGATGACCAAAGAGCACGTTCATTGTTCTTTGAGATTATACTCCAAATGTCAGCACCCTCTTGGAGCAGTTGCTTTGATATTAATATTTGGTTTCTTGAATAGACAGAAGAATCGCATATAGAAGTTAATAGAAGGAGATAGTGAATCCTTAAAAAAAAAAAATCCAAAATCTGTCAGTTACCTGTGATGGGTGCATCCACTATACAAAGAGACCTGATTTGCAAGTTTTATCAAGTCATCTTCGTTAACAGAAGGAGCTGCAGCTCTGAGAAACTTTGACCGCTCATGTGTACCATCTAAACAATATCTGAAAATCTCAGCGTCCGAAAAGGATTCAACATCATCTCCATCTGATAAACTCCAAGAACTTCCTGCATCCATGCTGTCGTAATCTGATGCTGTAGAATCAGACACCATGACATCCTGTGCTCCTTTGTCTAGCACCATCTTTTTTGCATGTTTATTCTGTCAATACAACACAAAAAAAAGGTATGATCAATAAGTCACAGATTAAGCAAAACTTAACAGGCACACAGTCTAGCCTATTGATTACCTGTGATGATGTTTTCTGTACATCATCTTCTATCTTGGAAAACTTGGATGGATGGAAACATACCACTGAACTTGGGTCGTGTGTCTGCAACCGACCATTTGCTTTTCCACTGTGACCAAACCCTTCACAATTATTGATTGATTTAATATCATCCATTGATGCAGAGCCTATCCGCTTTGCAGAACCCAATGGGCGGCTGGTGCGGTTTCGAGATATACAACGAATAGGTTTGGAATACGCCTCCAAAAAAGTATATCTTTTCATGCCAAGTGTAGAGAAAAAAATACGGAAGAGCTTATTGTCGCATTTAGAAGATAGCTGCAACAAACAGACGGTTATCTTATTTGAAAAAGATGAACCAAGAAGGACCATAACTTAAAAATATAAGAGCTGTAAATATAGAGAATTTGAGATACACATGGTATTTTAGATCGCACTCCATTGTGCAGCTGTACTGGAAGTCATAAAATGGACTACCTGAAAGGCTGAAACAAGGTATGGAGACAAGCTGTAGTAAAGAATTTGTCTTTGTACAGGCGAATTGCCAGCCTGCTTCAGTGACACAAGTAGGCATGCCACATACATGCCACAATAGCTGAAATGTGTAGCTACAGACTCTACTCTACTACTCTATAGTGCTGCTGCAGAGCTCCATTTAAAACTATAAAATCTGCTTCCAAGTTTCACCACCTAAACATGGAAGATGTTTAATGTATACCACAAATTTTGGGAATGCAGATAGCTGAAAATAATGGTATGTGTTTTGTCTATGCAGATTGAAGTAGGTAATACATGTGACAAAATAATAGCATCTCCGAAAGCCCACCTGAGAAATCTTGAGTTTAAATAGTGCACGCCCACGAATAATTGGTAGAGGCCTGCTTACAGCTGGGTATTCAATTCCATCACAACTAATTAGCAAAGGAGGTTCTGAATCATCTCTTGATTTTTCAACTAACGCTCCATTGTCAGCATAGACGAGTGAAGCAACGATCTGGAAGATGCATAAATATAAAGAATAATATGCAAACAAATACAGAAGGGTGCCCCTTGAATATAACAAAATTGAATAAAAGAAAAACAGAAAACCTCTCTATCCTTTGCTGCTTCACCAAATGCATCTACTAGTATAACTTCCAAAATGAAGTTCCTCCGGCAAGAGGCCTGCACCGATTGATCTCACATAAGGATTGTGGCTCATGATTACTTATAATTAGCATATCTTCTTAACATAGAGTAACCAAATATAATTTAGTAGTGTTTTCCAACTTCAACTTAACTGCAATTGCTCAGGCTATAATTTGCAAATTATTTTTATATTGGTTAGCAGAGAGTGTTCTTGCTCAGCATAAAATATTTAAAATAAGCATATGTTTTGTTTTTCCTGACAGAACAGAATCTGGTTTACCTTCCCACCCACAATATTCCAAATACCATCATCACCCTCTTCGATTCCATCAGAGCATGAGTAGTCAATAGATAATTTAAATGGTGGGTTCTGCAATTCAATGAGAAAATATTACAAAGAATGCACATCCACTGAGAAAAACGTGATATCCTAAGCTGCATCACCTTTGCAAATTGTTGTTGTATGTTTCCTAGCATACATGACAACTCCATGTTATATACATATCCTTCGAGCTTGTCCTCGCTTCCTAGTAAGTTAATTTGGTTTGCATCATCCTGATAGTCTGGTTCGTTGTACAGCGAATGAAGATGAGTTTCAGCAACTAGGTCGCCATCAATATGAAGACGCATAATGTTTTCGGTAACCTGAAAAAGGTGCAAGAAAGTATTAACAACTCAATTGCTCTCAACAATCTTTCTTACTCTTAATATACATGGCGAAAAAAAATTGCTCTCAACGAGAGAGAGAGAGAGAGAGAGAGAGAGGCAAGGCTGCAATTGGAAACTGAAGGAAACAAAGTGTTCACACATGCGGAAGATACCACCTCTAACTGAAAAAGAACAGGTGTAAAAGAAATAAAGGCGCGGGAAAGCATTTCCTTTTTAATGCAGGAGGGGTGCGCATTTTGCAAGCGTGGGAAAGTATCAGATGCATAATTTTTACATACAGGAGGGGTGCGCATTTTGCAAGCGTGGGAAAGTATCAGATGCATAATTTTTACATACTTTCATCTGGGCAACCAGAGCAAAGGATATTGCAGATGGATAAAATGCACATGGTACCATCGATATAGTTGAGAATTTGGAGCATACCTCACACCCGACATGGAACCAATTGTCAAGGGGACACTCATTAACTTCAGTTAGATTGGTTATGTCAGTCCATGGGTAAGAACTATCAGGAGTAGGGGCTTCCCTGTGAAACCCCAGCAATGGGAAGAGAATCAGTTTATTCCCTTCACCCAATGCAAGAAATGGCACCTTGTCGCCACCTCCTTCCGCTACCTGCACAGACGAAAAATCCAATCAGTAAAACACCCACCCACGCGAAATGAAAAAAAAAGAAAAGAAATCGATCCCTAAAATCAACCAAAAAACCCGAAATGGGTTTCCATACCTTGTTGAAATCATCAGGAGACGTAAAATAAAGAGAGAGAGAGAGAGAGAGAGAGAAAGGAATCCGACCTGATGGAGGATGACAGAGGAAGGCCTCGCGGAGCTGGAGAGGTAGAGCCAGAAGCAGACGGTAAACCCACCTCCGCCGCCTCTGACCTTACCCGGGTCCAACTCGAGCCTCACGTCAGGGAGGTCGCAGTACCCGTCGGCTCCGCCGCGTCCCGGCGGCGCCGCCATCGGCGGGCGGGCGGCCGCGCTCCGGGAGGTCGGAGGTGGCGAGGGTTTTGTGCCGCTTTCCCTTTCCCCTCTCCTCCTCCTCCGATGCGTCCGTCAGTTAACGGTTTTGTTCGGTGGGCGAGGAGAGGAGTGGGTGGGAGTGGACTGGACTGGACATGATCTTGGGCCGTTGGATTGGAGATGGGCCTTTCGTCTCCAGGCATAGGCAGCCCGGTACAGATGAGATGAGGCCTGGACGGCCCAGTCGATCCGCGGCCGGTGACACGACGAGGCCCACGGCGGAGAGGCGGTGGCGGCGCGAGCTGCCGTGCCGCCGACTTTCCTACATCGCGTCCATCCGTGTTCTTCTTCAGGTTCAAACTAGGAGCATGTGTCTAATGTCTTTCTTCTATCTTACGACGTGGGGCATGCACTTGTTCTTATGGAACGCAGGAACGAGTATCTTCGTCCCATCTTGTTTTTAGTCCCATCTGTCCCATCTTGTTTTTAATCCTGTGTCCGTCATTGAGCATGTGTGTATGAATCAACCATTGTAAAAACTTCAAATTTAAAACTTTTATAGCAGATGATAGATACACGAGTACAACAATGCGAATCCATGGCGTTGGCAGCAACTCTCATGGCGAAATTGTGGTGGCCAAAAGATACACTCCAAAAGCTCACCAGATGCGCTCATCTCGGAGCAGGGCAGAGCAGAGACGACAGGAGAGGATAAGGATCAGCGTGTGGTGAGGAGCACGCGCCACGTGTCTGTACCTGGGCCCAGATATGCTGCAGCACGGTTCCCCGATTTGGAATACTAGCACGTACTCACAAGCCGGATGATGCCATATATAGACACTGCTTTTTGCCCACGTGCGATACACTGTAGCGGCAGCGGCTGTACAGATTAGGCCCCAAGCTACGTGGAGCATTGCGTGGCCCACGCAGACGCACTAGGTGGCACATGGCCCATTATCAGCCCAACCCAGGTTTGGCCCGTGACTAAAGCCCTCGCTTTTTATAATCGTACGGGCATTGCTAGTTTGCTACTGCTACTGCTCCATGGAAACCACTGTGTCTTTGCTGCCGCACCTGCTCGTCAAGCCTTCCTCCTCCTTCAGCTGTTGCTTCACAATGGTGATCTCTTTTTGTTTCTTTTTTGGATTCTTCGGCTATCTTTGAATCAGTTTATGGTTCTTTGGCCATGGGAGAAACTTCTCATTCCTTTCTTGCTTGGAGTTTCAGTTGTTGTTCTTTTTCTTTGCAGTTCATCTCTATTTCTGCACATGTGCACATCAATCTAATATCAGTATGTTGTTTACTAAGCTATTTCCTCCGTTTCACAATGTAAATCATTCTAGCATTTCCCACATTCATATTGATGTTAATGAATCTAGACTTGTGAAATATGAATGTGGGAAATGCTAGAATTGTGAAACGGAGGGAGTACCAGATAATCCCTACAGTAATGCAGCTGTCTGCACTGCAATAAAACAAATTTCGTTTGATGAGGTTACCTCCTATGTGAAACCATGCAGGGCATTGGTCGTCGATATGGAAGAATCAAGGTGTATGCAGTGCTCGGTGATGATGAAGCTCAACATGCCAAGAACAACATGAGGGGGGCCTTGTTCCATGTCGATAACCCCGGGCCAATGGCTCCCATTGCAAAAGGCAACTTCTTGGATGTTAACCAGGCCCTTGAGGTGGTCCGATTCGGCATCCAGTACTGCGATTGGAGGGCGCGGCAGGACCTCCTCACCATCATGGTTCTGCACAACAAGGTATGAAATAGTATATATGAAATATTGGCCATGCAGAAAGTTTCAGATGAAAGGTCTCAGGGCCTGTTCACTTTGATGCCAAAAAAAACCTTACCAAATTTTGTCATTACCAAAATTTTGGCAGGATTTCCTATATAGTTACCAAAATTTGGCAACAAACTAAATGTAGCCACTTTTCTGGCAACTTTACCAAAATTTGGTAAGGTTGAAAATGTCATCAAAGTGAACAGGCCCTCAATTTGCATACCCTGGATTTTACTGGTCATGAATTTCAGTTTTTGACTGAATGCTGAATAGTGCTCGAGGTTGAAGTTGTGGACGACTGACACAGATTCTTCCACGAATTGTTAACATTAATGCAGGTGGTAGAGGTTCTCAAATCTTTAGCAATAGAGTTCAAGTCAAATGGAACCTTGAGGAAAGAGCTTGCAGAGTTGCAGGAAGAATTGGCCAAAGCTCACAATCAGGTATTGCACTTGCAGGAGTCAAATGATAACCCTTCAATCTCATCTGGATTCTGATGTTTTATTTGTCTGATCCAGGTTCATTTATCAGAAACTAGAGCATCATCTGCACTTGATAAGTTAGCACAAGCGGATAACCTGGTGAATGACAGACTGTTGCAAGACGGAGGCTCTAGTGCATCTATAGACAACTATGTTTCTCTTGCTTCAAGAACGTCATCAGCGTCCCGTTTTGTGAACAAGAAAACTCTGCGTCCGAGTCTGGACGTGTCTGGTCCAGTGCAGCCATACAATCCCAATCTGAAAAACTTCTGGTACCCAGTTGTCTTCTCCGGTGACCTGAAAGATGATACAATGGTAACGCAATGAATGATTCAGGCATTTACAATGTCCGGAGTACCAGTTAATGATATGTTTTGATGTGGTCTGTGTGTTCTCAGGTACCAATAGATTGTTTTGAGGAGCAGTGGGTAATTTTCCGAGGAAAGGATGGGAGACCTGGATGTGTTCAGAACACATGTGCTCACAGAGCCTGCCCTCTTCATCTTGGCTCAGTTAGTGAGGGTAGAATCCAATGCCCTTTCCATGGTAAGAAAAAAGAAACTTTATATGAAATTTCATTTTGGCACGCTTCTGCTGTTTTTACAATCTGATTTTCAAAGCATCAGCTAGCACTATGGCTATATGAAAAAAAAAAGCTTTCTTCCTTTTTAGAAACACAAGCTTGTTGCACTCCACAATGTACATACATTGTGTGATGACACTGATAATTTATAATATTTATGTAAAACACACAATAAAATGGTTCTTCTAAAGGCTCGGAACTGACATAAATTGCAATCTTGAAGGTACATGAAAAATGATTCAGAACCAAAATACTGGAATATTTGAGGATTTGTAACAAAGAATTACTCTTTTTTTAAAGTCTTCCCATGATCATAATGTTCCCAATAAAGTGGTAGTGCAAGTAATATTTCTGATTTCCTTTTCATACCCTTCAGGGTGGGAGTATTCAACTGATGGAAAATGTGAGAAAATGCCAGCCACGAAGTTGCTCAATGTGCGCATCCGGTCATTGCCATGCTTTGAGCAAGAAGGCATGGTTTGGATCTGGCCTGGTGATGGCACACCGGAGTCGACTATCCCTTCTCTGCAGCCCCCTTCAGGATTTACAATTCATGCAGAGGTAAAACGAAATCATGTCATACTGCAGCAATCTTCCATGGTGAAAGTGTCCTGTGTTTTTCAAGTTTTTTTTACTGGACTGTAAAGTAATGGAATTTATCTTCATCATCAACAGATGGTGATGGAGCTACCGGTGGAGCATGGACTTCTGCTGGACAATCTATTAGATATTGCTCATGCTCCTTTTGCTCATACGTCCACCTTTGCCAAGGGTTGGAGTGTTCCAAGGTATTTACATACATATCAACTAAGGACAACTGGCCATTGAAAATTTTTCACAAATCATCATGCTGATGCTATATTCATCTTTGTCAGCTTGGTGAAGTTCTTGACACCTGCATCTGGGCTCCAAGGGTACTGGGATCCTTACCCCATCGACATGGAGTTTCGACCGCCATGCATGGTCTTGTCAACCACTGGCATCTCAAAGCCTGGAAAACTAGAGGGAAAGAGCATCAAGCAATGTTCCACACATCTCCACCAACTCCATATCTGCTTGCCCTCCTCCAGGAATAAAACCAGGATGCTGTACCAGATGTCCCTCAACTTTGCTCCCTGGCTCAAGCACATCCCTTTCATGCACATACTATGGTCACATTTTGGTGAGAAGGCAAGTCTCAAAATTTTCAGAGCAACTTGGTAGTCACTGATCTCCATGTCATCTCATGTTAGCTTGCAACTTACTACAGTAAAGTTTTTTCCGCTGTTTCACACCGTCGTCTATAAGACATCAATGGTAATCTTGTATGATCTTCTGCAGGTCTTGAATGAGGACCTACGGCTTGTGCTTGGGCAGCAAGAGCGGATGATAAATGGCGCGAACGTATGGAACTGGCCAGTGTCATATGACAAGCTTGGTATCCGGTATCGGTTATGGAGAGACGCCATTGAGAGGGGAGCAAACAGGTTGCCATTCAATAACCAAAGTGAGAGTGGATCATAGTAGCTGCAATGCTGCACTGACAGTAGCCTCTTTCAACTCTTGTCGCATTTCTTGGCGAGATGAAGATGACTATGGCCAGAACTATAGTCACTTAGTCAGAATATGTATATGCGCAGTTTGTTTAGGCGTGCTGCGTTCATCCCTGCGTGGTTCATCCGCCTGAGCTTCTGGAGAGGAAAGCTAATGGAAGGAAGGGTTGATAGACTGATAGGCGACAATTGTTATGTGTAATTTTAAGTGTACTAGTGAGCGTGCATATGGAATCCATGTGTGTAATTTCAAGTGTACTAATCAGTGTGCACGTGGAAATGTGGAATCCATGTCATCTCAATAAAAAAAATAGTGCTAGCAAGATTGCTAGTACTCTCCTAGATAAATAGTACTCCGTAAAAGTTTTCTTCTAGGTAATATAAAAGTTATCTTCTAGGTAAACGTAAAGCACATCATTATCATTGTTTTCTCCTATCCTAAGACAAATCGATTATGTGAAAAGAAATAATTATATTTATAATTTGCATAAACGTAAGTCGTGATAGAAATGAATCGAATCACATTGCAATCCTTCAAAGCTTACAATAGACAAACCTACACAGGAAACCTGAACAGGTGCAAACCACTAGTCCACTACTATTAACAACTCAATATCTCCAAAAATAGGGGGGAAATGCTGCAGTTGGTGCCAATCAACCAACCCGAAATGTGCATCCAAACCTTGTTACAATCACCAATAACTGTAAATACTTAAAAGAGGGATCTGACCTGATGAAGGGATGGCAGAGGAAGGCCTCGCGGAGCTGGAGAGGAGTAGCCAGAAGCAGAGTCTGACCTCCTCCCTCAGGTCCAACTCGATCCTCACATCATTGAGCTCGCAGTATCTGTCGCCTCCGCCGCCGCATATCCCGGCGCCGCCGCCGCCATCGCCGGAGGCGGCGATCGAGGGTTTTGTCCTTCTTCCCCTGTTGGTTGGGCTGTAACTGGATTTCAATCACGTGAGGCCCATTCTCGTTAGGCCCATAACGGGATTTGGATTACGTGCGGCCCAACAAATGGGCTTGGGACTTTTTATCTGATTGGGCCCGGCCCAACCCATCAAGGAGAGATCGAGCTGCCCATCCATGGCGATCGGAGGACATAAGAGTGACCCCCATGGCGATGGCTGCGGAAGAGGAGAGGAGAGGAGGGAGACGCCTGCCTTGCTGCTCCGCCCGCGGTGACGCACCAGGCCCACGGCGGAGACGGCCGCCATCGCCATCGCCGCCGCCGCCGCCGCGTGAGCTACCTGCGTCGGCTTTGGTACGAGAGGTTTGGTTCCTACTGCACATCCATTTCCATACGTGTTCTTTGTTCAGATTCCACCTAGCTCTCTTGTCGCGAATAGGAGGATGAACGCCGGTATGAGGGCGTGCGTGCTTCGATCCAAGCTGGTCAACGAAAGGTTTCATGGGTTTGGTTGGTTGATGCCGTGGGGTCCTGCTGATTGATCTCCCACCTTTCTTGACTTGACAACCTTTTTCCAGCGAGAGACACATGGGATTGATTACTAATTAGTTTACGAGGAGTAGTTAATTAACAATTGCTTTCGAGATGTCAAAAGGGCAGCACCTTTCACAGCTTCCTTTTCTTTCATTTCTAGTTTTTTCTTTCTTTTCTATTGAGTAGCGGCCTAATTAGCACACGCCACCTGTTTCTCCTGATTTCAGCGTTGCTGTCTGTCACAGTTCCGGAGAAAGATGTTACTTTCCTTTTCTCTTCTTTCTATTTTTTCTATCGATTGGGGACGAACTGCATGTTTGTTCATGTATCTGTTTGTTTCTTACACCAGCTCAATCTTTTCAGTTTTGATTCGGCTGGTTAGCTGTTGAATCGTATTCTGTTTTTCTTCCCACCGGTACAGGTTTTGTGTGGATGCCAGAGAAAGTTTTCTGTACCTTTCACTTTCAGGATAGAAAATTGGGCATAGAAAACTGCAACAACTAGTATGCAATTATTCAATTTTCTGAGGTGTTCCCTTTTTTTTGATGTTTGGGCAGAGTTTAGTACTGTTGCTTTATTAAATACTGTTTTATCCTGTGGACCATAGATATATGCACTTGTTGAGCTAGGAGCCTAGGATGACTGCTGGGAGAAATTTCTAGTTTGTGGGGTTTTTAAGGCCGAGTTTAGTTCCAAACTTTTTCTTCAAACTTTCAACTTTTCCATCACATCAAAATTTTTCTACACACATAAACTTCTAACTTTTCCGTCACATCATTTCAATTTCAACCAAACTTCCAATTTTGGCGTGAACTAAACACAGCCTAACAAGGTTATCACATAGCCTTATATAGAACTTAGATGTGATTTGTCCAGCTGCAGCATAAAAATATGCCCCAAATCTTATCTCTTGTCCTACTCATTGTCTGGTTTCTGTGCTCCCTATATTTATAAGGCATGTGATTTTCAAATAAAGGGAGATTTTTTAAGATCCAGATTGACTGATGTGAAAAGCTTGCATTTGCAGCAGAGCTTTCACCACTCGTTTTAGCTGGGAAGACGAGCGGGCAACAGAATGGAAAGTTCATCAGCTAGGAGCAACACCTCAGAGAGGAATCGCGTAGATTATGCAAGAAGTGTGTCCATGGATTCTGCAGGTCATTCTTTAGGTGCTAGGTCTGCCTCAATCCTCAGTAGGAGAAGCAGCAGGCAGGGTTCAAGGGGATCCATCAGCCTCTCCCGTGAGATGGGGGACTCGATACTGAGCTCGATGAGGCATTCGCTTCAATCAGCAGACCAGTTGCTAGGTGATGTAGATGGCTCAGTTCTTGCTCAGGTCATTGACAGTGGTGACCGAGGGCTAGCATTTGAAAACGACGTTGACGAAGAGGAAGAGAATAATGTGGAGGATCATCAGGCTGTTCCTCTCCCAGATGATACATCAATGCGGATTCATGGCAGAAGCTCTCAAGGCACAAGTGTGGTGGCACCCGTATCTGCGATGAAGCCAAAAGATACTAATGTTAACGGCCCAGCCAGTTCATCTATCAAGGTAAATACATTATGTTATGCATAATTCGAAGGTATACATTATGTTATTGTTGCTGACATGAACACACCTCTGTGTGCCTGCAGGTTGAACCATATAAGCTTTCATGGATGCAAGATTATGCTTCTTACCTGATCCATTTAGCCGTATTTGGATTTCTTGGGGTAACACTCAGACACCTTGTGTTTAGTTGTTTTGTAATAACTATTGAATAATCTGCGCGAGTGCTCCAGATGTATCATTCCCTTGATGAGTTTGTGATGAAATTAGGTATTTACAAGGTATGGGCTCCAAAAACTGTTTGGCCCTAGCTGCCTGGCACTCACCTCAGACCAAAGCCCACTGTACCTTGACCTTCCATCTAACATGGTATCTGCTATTCTACCGGCTCAAATGTTATTAATGCAAGAAATCATTTCTTATAGTGCAACCACATGGAATTTGAACCAGACTAACTCATTCTAATGACTAATTGGCAAACGCCAGCTAGGATCTTTCCTGATGGGCTGGTTTGGGATCATCTTCAAGGCTGATATACGTCACATATCTGATCATCTCATTGTCGGAATCACGACAGGCTACATGGGAAGCCTTACCACCTTCAGTGGGTGGAACCAGAAAATGGTTGGCCTATCTTCCAAAGGCCACTGGGTATATGCTGTAGCTGGCATAGTACTAGGTACATCATCTTCATTTTCTATGAATTGTTATTGTCCCTAAACTAATTATTATCCAACAAAAGAAAAAAGAAAGATTTCATTTTGATGGCTCGCAACACTCTTAACTTACCCAGGAATGTTTATCGTCAATGAGTCCATCACGGTGGGTGCGGAAACTGGTGAGCGACTGCGAGGATGGATCCTGAAATGCATCATAGAGAAGAATTCAATAGGAAGCAAATGCGGCTGGGAGGACTGGAGGGTGGACACCAGGACCAAACATTATGCGCTTCTTGGAGTTATGGTGATTCTGATGTCTTTGATATGGATCCTGAGCATTGTGCTGGCCATAGTGAAGGTGCATAGCCTTGGCCATGGCGCGGTTCTGTGGCTGGGTTGCTCGGTAGCACCTCCCGGTGTTTGGCTTCGCTGGTACTTGGCGAGGCTAAATGGCGGAGGAATTGGAATCGGCAAGCGGAGACACCTCAAATGGCTTCCCGTTGGAACACTTGCAGCCAATGTTCTTGCAGCAGCAATCATGGCAGCTCTTGCTGTCACGGCTAAAGCGGTATGATGAAACATCTTCTTTTCACATCTCATACAGTTCTCTGTCCTGCAGTTCATTTTACTGGTCCTTGAATCATCTTATCTGTCTAATTCGTCTCCTTTTTTTTTCATATAGGAAAATACAAGACGATTGACTACTGTTCTTAATGGCATACAGCTCGGTTTCCTCGGTTGCTTGAGCACAGTATCAACTTTTGCTGCTGAAGTTTACACCATGAGAAGAAGTGGTCAGATTGCAAGGGCATTTGTATATGCTGCAGCCACCTTCGTTCTCTCATTTGTGCTAGGAACTCTGATATACTCAGTGCCGGTGTGGGTAGAGCATTACTGATAGCATCGTCACCAGTTGCAGAATTGGAACCTTTGATGGTTTAGCAATTTGCTAATCCAAGTAGCTTAGATAATACAATCTAGAAACAAGCTTGCAAAGAAAAGCTTGGAACGCGGGAATTTCATTTCAACTGCCACGACGGAATTTAGTACTGCACCATAGCAAAAGAATGCATTTTTCTTGTTGTAAAGTGAGTATGTATACAGCATTTCTGGAATTGGAGAGTTGGGAATACATACAGTTGTAGCATGAAGAATATTGTACAAACAAAATTTTGAAGTGCAAAAACAATGTCTATTTTCCTATAATCCTGTGTTCATTGGACGCCATGTGACAGCACATTGTTAGCTTCAGAATAATTGCAAAAGCACATCGTTAGTTCGAAATGTTGGGCATTATTCACTCGACAATATTCCTCATCATTCAACTGTACCACACCAAACATAAATCCAATGTCCACTAGCCTCTTTGGCCAACTGCTACCACGAACTGCTACCACGAACTCATGCAGGGAATGCACTTGTCACTGTCCTAAGTCCTAAATCCGCTTTCACAAACGAATGGCTCCTGTGCAAAAGAATAATCAGCTTCATCATGCTTAAGTTCTTATCACAAGTCGTTGTCTGCTTCAGCATTCTTCAACGAGTGAAATAACCTCTCAAATGTAATCACTCATTTAACTCGCTAATTCAGCCATGTGCTCCTCAATCTGCTTCAACAACTCTGAGTTCCCATGTATTATGCAATTCCCAGCTAGTATCTCCCAAATTTGCTTGCGAAAAAGAAGTGGCGAACTTTTGATCAATTCAACCATTTTATCATGCGAAGATGAGCGGGAAAACAAATCAACCAAGCAAACATAGTGATCTTCCCCTGGAACAATCCTATATCTCTCAGTCATCAACTCAAAAAATCCTATACCTTCTTCAACAAGGTTGCAATGGCAGCAAGCCTTCAAAACTGTCAAGAATGTATTCGCATCAGGCTTCCATCTCTCTCGAATCATCTGAACAAATGATCCTATCACCTCCTGCCCATGCCCATGATGACATAGAGCACCCAGTAGCGCATTCCACAACAATGTATCCTTCTTTTCCTGAACTGCTAGACTGAACACCTGTCTAGCATCAGCCAAATAGCCACATCTTGAGTACATGTCAATGAGTGAGCTCAAAATCATGACATTTGGATAAAAACCAGTTCTTAGCAACCTTCCATGGATCTGCTGCCCACATTTCAGTGCGCACACAGCTGCACAAGCACGGAAACAACTACTAAAGGTGATCTGATCTGGGTGGACACCCTCTTTGATCAAATGCTGAAATATGCTCAGTGCTTCTGCTTCCTGCCCATGGCGAACATATCCCTCCATGAGAGAATTCCATGAGAGGATATTCTTCTTTGGCATTTGATCGAACAACCGACGGGCAGTGCTCAGCTGGCCATCCTCTGCATAGCCGCAAACTAGTGTCGTCCACATTCGCTCACTTTTCACAGGCATCTCATTAAACAGATCCTCTGCATCTGCAATGCATACGCATTTGGTGTACACATCAACGAGGGAGCTGGCAATCCTGATATCTGACAAGAACCCATGAAGAATCAGATGTCCATGGAGCTGCCTGGCAAGCTCCCTGTCCACAAGCTTCTCACAGCCTACAAGGAGTGCCAAGAAGGTTTGATCACTGTACCCAAGTGAAGTCGACGTGCCGCGGAGCTCGGAGTAGAGCGCCACGGCTTTCTGCATCTCACCACCGCCGGCGAGCGCGAGCAGAGTAGCATTATAGGAGAGGAGGTCGCGGTGTGGCATGGCGGCGAACACCTCGGCCGCGGGGGCCGCGAGCGCGAGGCGGGCGTACCCCGCGAGCATGGCGTTGTAGGAGCAGACGTCGGGGAGGGGCATTCTGGCGAACAGGCGGCGCGCATCGCGCGGGCGGCGGAGGAGGAAGTTGAGCGACAGGAGGTGGTTGGCGAGCTGGGTGGAGCAAGGCACGAGCCTCTTGAGGCCGGCGAGGCGGACGTAGAGGAGGAGGCGGCCGGCGAGGGAGGGGAAGCACGGCGCCGTGGCGCGGCGGAGCAGGAGGAGGCGGGCGAGCGAGGAGAGGAGCGGGAAGGGCGGGCGCAGGCCGGCGCGGGAGAGCTCCGGGAGGAGGGCCACCGCGGCGGCCGCGTGGCCTCCTGCGATGCTGCGGTGGAGGGCGGCGAGGATGCCGGTGTACGGCGGCGATGTCGGCGGCGGCGGCGGCGAGCCGACGGGGAGGGACATCGGGCGGGGAAGGGAAGTAATCTGTGGGCGGAGGCGGCGGACTCAGACAAAATACTCTTGCATGTGGTCGCCGCCAGTCAACGTGGGCCGTCCAATTCAAAAACAAAATAAAAATGAACGGCTCTAATGGACTCTGCAGGTCAACCAAGATCATGAGAACCTGAAGCATAGGATCATTTCATATGCAACCACCATGCACAGAAATGAAATTTACCTAAGTTTCTATCCGATACTAGTTGCTATATTTTGAGACAGACGTAGAAGCTCATATGTGTCTGATTTGTCTTTCACACAAGAAACAGATTCATGACATAAAATGTGCATTCAGGCCTGGTTTAGTTCCCAACTTTTTTCTTCAAACTTCCAACTTTTCCATCACATCAAAACTTTTCTACACACATAAACTTTCAACTTTTCTGTCACATCGTTCCAATTTCAATCAAACTTTCAATTTTAGCATGAACTAAACACACCCAGTCAAAGATAAATTATAGTCTCCAGGACATGAAAATGTGCATTCAGTCAAAGATAAATTTTAGTCTCCAGGACATGACTGTTAACATAGAACTAGGAAAATTTGGGGATAAAAAAAGGGAAGATATTTTAGTGTATGTTAGAAAGCTACTCCTACATCCTACTCTCTTGCTGGCAGCCAGACACAGCAATTCCAGCTTTGTTACAGTGCATCAGCATCTTTGGTTCATCTGGCCATCTGGGCATGCAAGTACATCAAAACATAATGATGTCAACATGTCCAGGACTCCAGGGCATAGTGCTTCCAATAGCAATCGTGCAAGTACATCAACAGATTTCATCTGCGAATATAATGTCAAAAATAGCTTGCACTGCAAAACAAGATTGGAATGTAACTGTCAGCCTCATAAATTGGATAGCTAGAAACCTTAATTGACAACTTTAGTTCTCTCTTCTTTCATTCCTTACCTTCATCTTTTGGTATGTTTGGCTGGTCTACTAAGAGTTGACGCATCGCGGCAATGTCACTGGAACTGCAAAGAAAGAGCACCATGGGCATTCAAGTTAGTGAAGACTGACAAACATGTCTGAATTGATAATTCAGGGATAAACTAAAAGCAGATACAGAACTCCATACAGAGCACACAGATAGGAATATAGATGTTTGGTGAAACAAATAGTTGAACTTTTACCTGCTCGTCCATGTCAGCGAAGAGATGACTGATGATTTTAGTGCATACCTGTCAAATGGAATTTAGGCAATTCAGAGGACCGCAACACGGAGTGGCTTCAGTACAGAAAAAAAAAGTAATATGTGCAGCGTCAGAATAAAGAGCATCTTAATATATGATGATAGCAAACTAAGTGCTGCAACTGAAGTCAGTATTGGTGAAATGGAAAACAGTGCTTGGGGTGTTGCATATATGTAAGACGGCCATAAGGTTGGTTTAATTTTGATTCAACTATAATGGATGAGGTTCAGTACAATGAGCTTCACAACAGCAAAAAAAAAGGGGGGGGGGGGGGGGTCTTCTTTAGGTCATTACTCGGCCTGGTGCATTTCACATAAAGTCCGTAGCCCATCCAAGCAGTCTGCTATAGTTGGCAAAATTCCCACTTGTAACTGCATCTGTTTTGCACTGAGTGCAGACCCACCTCTCACCATTTGATTAGTATCCCGCAAAGCCTTATGTAAAGATCTGGCAATGCTATTGAATTCCTCCCTGAACAATAGCAACAGCAGCAACGTCAGATCAATTTTTTTTTCTCCGTCTGCTTCTAGTGTCACACCGAAACTAAAAGGGATTGCAACAGCAGCAAAGCCACTTACACTGTCTCCCTCATAGAGACGAAGATGATCTCCAAACTCTCCATTTGCTTACCCAAAAGATTCTCTCTGATGTTAGGGACACATCGTAGGACACCATAGTTCTTAACCTCTTCCAGCACCTTTTAACATATGATTTGTCACGCAGCTAATATCACAATGCATTTACTGCTCACTAGAATTACAGTGTGTCTACCAAATTATCAATTGATATGTTTTTCATGAGCAACCGACCATCTAGCTTGAAAAAACTTGCAGGTGGAAAATACTAGAAGTGGTCCTGTCAGCACTAGCTGAAAGCCCTGAACTTGCTGCAGTTATCCGAGGGGGAAAACTAACTGAATCTGTAATTTCATTACATTAGTGAAATCTGCCCCCCAATGCATGATGCTACCACAAAACTAAATGCTTGTTACATGTCCATTAAATTTCTTTGTCAACAAAAGAATTGCTGCCGTGTCAAAATAAAGAAAAAGAAAAGAATTGCTGCCACACCGAGTAGTGTTGTTTCTCTACAACCACAGTAAAACTGTACTCCAAACCACCAAAAGGGGATATATCTTTTTTTGCAGAGAAGAGAGGAAGAGGATACCGGGAGACGAGCAACGATGGCGGCAGCGTTTGCGAACTGAGAGAGGAGGCGGGAGTTGAGGTCGTCCCACCGATCCATCTCCTCCCGCGCCTTCCTCACCCGCTGCTGCACCCTCCGCACCGACGACTCCATCCAGTCCCACCCCCTCCCGTACGGCCCAGCGGCCGCCAAACGGAGCAAAGAATCGGCGGCGGCGGCGCGTGGAAGGGGAGGGAACGGAAGGTGAGCAGCGGCGAGAAAGCGTCCGAGCTCCGAACGGCGGGAGGGGTCTCCTGCTCGCCGGAGAAGACGGCGGCGGCGGCGGGTATTAGAATCAACCCACGCATTAATGGGCCTTATTCCCTCGCAAGCCCTTTCCGGCCCGAACTATTATGGGCCGCACGTACGTAGAAATGAGCGAAATAAATATGGGCTCCATAGTTGTTGTCCCGTTTCAGCCCAAAGTAGTAGGGAGAATTGGGGTATGGGCCGCACGTACGTCACTATCTTGTTCAAGCCCAAACAAATACTCCTTCCATCCCATAAAAAACCAACCACTAGATGTGATATATTCTAGTTGTCCAGATTTATTGTACTAAAATATGTCGCATCCAGTACTAGATTCACTTTTTTTTTTGAGATGGAGGGAGTAGGTGCGTGAGGAAAAAATTTCAGTCTGGTTTTCAGCGTATACCAGGTGACTTTGCAGATTTCATTTCAGATGCTTCGACGCAGAGATGGTTTGTAATTATTTGAATATACTGTTGAGACAGCATGACGGTAAGAGAGAGAGAGATAGAGAGAAATTTTATGTAGAAACTTTGAATTTGAAGCCATTTGCAATTTCTCATTATGGTTCTGTCCTTATTGACTTGAAAAAAAATGAAGAAATTGAGAAAACGGGGTGTTCGGAGAACTAAACTCCGAACCCGCTTGGCCTGCAAGGAGAACCAAGCCAGATGCTAAACGACCGAGGGAACCTCTCCATTCCATTCCCGTCATCGTCTTCTCTTCGCCGTCGCCGGCGAATTCATTGGAATTGCATGTGAGCTACTCCTAGAGAGCTACTTCCTCCGTTTCAGGTTATAAGACGTTTTGATTTTGATCAAAGTCAAACTGTTTTAAGTTTGACTAAGTTTATAGACAAATATAGTAGTATTTATAATACTAAATTAGTTTCATCAAATCAATAATTGAATATATTTTCATAATAAATTTGTCTTGAGTTGAAAATGTTACTATTTTTTTCTATAAACTTGATCAAATTTAAAATAGTTTGGCTTTAACTAAAGTCAAAAACGTTTTATAACCTAAAATGGAGGAGGGAGTAGTTTAATCTAGTCGTTGGGCTTTTGTTTCAACAGCATCGGCCATCCTGCTACACTACATCGATCCGTCGATATCAACATCACAGGGGAAGGTGTAATGCTCAAAAAAGCTCAAGATTATTCACCAAGCATATGCATGATGCATCATCGGTAATTCAGGATATATATAGTTATGAGCACATGGTAGGATCACTGCATGAGCATCTATACAGGTAGGATCCGGAGTACATATGTTCTTCATAGTTAGGTGGCAGATCGATCTGATCTGCCCGGCCTGTTTGTGTTGTATATATGCGAGCCAACGACTGAATGAATGAATGTTTGGTTGCTTCAATTTTAACTGATCAGATCAGAGACAATATAGATATATCCCTAGCTTATATCGCTAGCCAAATCACTCTATAACTATCTTGCTAGCTAGCTAAGCGCAATGCACATGCATGAACAGAAGAAGAGAATAATTAAGGTAGCTTCGACTCACAACACTATACTAATGGCTACTGCCTACTACGACAATAGATCATCAGAGAAGTGTTTTTTGCGTGGATCTCTAGCAAAGTCTATGACAGAAGACTTGTGAATAGGAGTGAAGTATACAAGTTATATACATACTTCACTATATAAGAAAGTTGGTTGCAGAAAAGAAATCAGATCAGGACCTTGAACAAAGCAGCAAAAGCCCTTAATGTTCGAGCTGAAATTATATTGGCCGGAAGGTCTAAGCTTTCTGAAAATGTGAGAAGTCAGCTGAAACTTGAAAGAAGAAATGCAAGGCCGGTGTTTCCATCTCCCTGTCAGACCAAGTAAGCTACTTGGTGCATTAATGAATGAATGCTAGGAATGCAATAACAAGCAGCTTGATCTACCTCGGACAACTAACTGCAACTGTAAACTGGGCAGTAGTAGAAATACAATTAGTATATCATCATAAGTTAATTACAGATAATTAAGCTACTAGCTAGGTGGCGACCTCTTCTCTTTGGGAGGCATAATGTACTACTAGTAATGAGGTTTGTGTTTACGAATCAGAGCACATGCCCCAGCCAACTGAGCCACCAGTTGATCACATGCACGCTCATCTCAAGCTTCTTGTTTTGCTTACTTCGGTACTACCCTCTCCTCGGTGCAACCATTTCATTGTTGACTCCCATCATTTTTAAAATCACCTGGAATGCATGCATGCGCAGCAGCTAATTACATTGTTAATATTGAGAAGTGCTTCAATTTATATTGTTCTTGAAACCGATATGATGATTCTAGGTTCAGAACATATTAGGAAATCGATATGACGATTTAATTTGCTCATCTGCCTGCCTAGCTGGCCTGAATTATGCAGGTAGAGCACACACATGCAGAATTATCATCGACCGCGTTGTTCCTTCATTTGCGGATCTTATGAGTACATTGGTCAAGTGATAATTAGGAGGTGATCAATCAGGTTTATATATGTAAAGCAGGAAAGCATATGATAATTGGATTGAATTGTATTGTATTGAGCTGGTGTACATGTTCAGTTGAAAAAAAAACTGCATCAGGGAATTGAAGATTGTGTAGTGCGTCAGTAAAATGGATTTGGAGGATTGAAACCGGCCGGGTCAATGCCTGCCGCAATCCACAGAAAACTAAAGCAGAGGCAACAGGAGTTGGATAGAAATGTTACTACCATCGATCAAGACAGATTCACTGCCTCTGCTTTTGTTCAGTAAGTACATTAGCTAGTAGTACAGGTAAAAGGTGATTATTCCTGAAAACCGTACGAGTTGATCCAGCTGGAACTACTATATAACTATCTGTTCAAAAATGGCATATAGTACATGGAAGACAGATGAGAGTCGGTGGTGAATATATGGATTCATGTGATGTATGTTTATACACGCTATTAGCATAATTTCAGGAACGACGTAAATTTACTAGAATCCTGGAATCCCAGCAGTTGCTGATGAGCAGATCAACTGAACAATGCTGACACACGATTACAGAGACCTAAGCTAGCTCGCTTGGCTTACATACATGGAGAGTGAGTTTTGCAGACAATGCAGTCAAATTTCTGTGCTCCATAAGATCTCTTCTCTTTTTTTTTAAGGGATGACACAGGATGAGTATTGTATACTGAATTTTGTTTATAGTAACAAGGGAAACTATTTTAATCCCTCGAGAGAATAACCCCTCGTTCTTTGCATGTCACTTAAATGGTTATGAAAAAAATTGAGAAGGTGTATTAACATGTGATATAATACTCTACAAACATGTAAGTTCAAATTCAACTTGTACATCTCGTAACGAACAGTAACAAACAGCTACACTGTATACTGAATTACTATGAGGTTTTGCACCGTCCGGCCGGCGTCGGCGAGCTAAGTACTCCAGCAAAGAAAGCAGGCACGTGTGGCAGCGCAGAGCAGAGTGCCAGTGACAGTAGCACAGGATCCGAACGCGCCCCCACGACTCCCCACGCAATCTCACTGCCACTGCATCTTCTTCTTCAGTTCTTCTTCTTCTAATCATGCATGTTCCCGATCCTCTCCTCTCCTCCCCTACCTACATATATAGCTGGCCGGTCGATCCCAACCTCCATATCTTCCATCCTGTGTGCTGCTTCGATTCGAGACATCAAGCAGCAGGGAAGCTAGCTAGCCTGTACATTTATATTCGCTTCTGCTGCAGCAAAGTCACCATCTGCCTAGCTAGCAGCTAGCTCCTCCTGCAGCTGCAGCTGCTGCGCGTATAGCTTAGCTTAGTCAGCTGCAGGAAGGTAGAGTAGAGTAGTAGCCACTAGCACAGCCATTGCTAGTGCGGCAACGCAAGCTCGCCGGCGACAAGATCATATTAACCGGAAGAGAAAGCTAGCTGAGCTTGCTTGCTTGCGCGTGTATCTATCAATCAAGGGTTGGTAGCTAGCTACAAATCGATAGCGTACAGCGGATTACACAAGAGAATGCAGCAGCGGCGGGGCGGCGGCGGCGTGCCGCGGCTGGCCATGGCGGTGGCGGTGCTCGTGCTCGCCGCGTCGTCGGCGGGGCGATGCCGAGCGCAGCTGGCGAGCGGCTACTACGCCGGCAAGTGCGTGAACGGCGGCGGCGGCAACTCGAGCGTGGCGGTGGACGTGGAGAGCATCATCCACGACGCCGTCCAGGCACGCCTCGCCTGGGACAAGCGGATGGTCGCCGGCCTCCTCCACCTCATCTTCCACGACTGCTTCGTCGCCGTACGTACAATCCATATACACACTGCTCTCTTAATCAAGATCAGTTCGATCAGCTAATTAATCAATACTGTATCTGAATCATCGCTGAATTAATCGATGGATAAATTTGTGTTCGATCTTATTATGATTAACTGATGAATGTATATAGGGGTTGTTCGGATTGATATCATTTCAAACCATATTATTTTTCTTAAAGTTATTAAATATGTGCATCCATTTAGTTTTTTTACTAAACTCTGATAAATACACAGGAAATTTCGTCAAAACTTAACAATATTATTAAATTGTCAAAATTAGTAATGTACTATATTTTAACAAATTGGCTACAATCTGGACATGTGTGTGTGGTGCAGGGGTGTGACGCGTCGATACTGCTGGATGGGCCAAACACGGAGAAGACGGCGCCGCAGAACAACGGCATCTTCGGCTACGACCTCATCGACGACATCAAGGACACGCTCGAGAAGGCCTGCCCCGGCGTCGTCTCCTGCGCCGACATCATCGTCGCCGCGACCAGGGACGCCGTCGGCATGGTACACACACATTTCTCAAACCAATACTCCAATTCATATTTGTCATTTCTGAATCGAAAATCCAAATTAAAATTTTGGCATTCTGCAAATTTGCGATGACGAAACAGTGTGGAGGGCCTCGGTACGAGGTGCAGCTGGGGAGGCTGGACGGGACGGTGTCGCAGGCGTGGATGGCGGCGGACCTGCCGGGCCCCGACGTCGACATCCCCACCGCCATCGACATGTTCGCCAAGAAGGGCCTCAACAGCTTCGACATGGCCATCCTCATGGGTAACTAACTCACTACTAATTCAACTTCAGAGTACTAATTAAACTTCTTCACAAAAAGAAAAACAGAGTACAAATTGAACTTAACTGTGATCGATTAACTGTTCTTTTTTTTTCAAAATCAAAGAAGCTAGTAGATAACTAGGCCATGTGCATGTGTTTATACTTTAAGTACTTTGGCGTAATTTGACCGGGGGCAGAGCGCATCAGAATATATAATCGAGGGGCTAAACACATGGAATGTCACGTATACCGGTGCTACGCATTAAAAAGGGGTTCATGGTATCTGTGGGAGTACTTACTACCGTCAATCTCAATTAGCACTACTATACTCAGTTTCCTCATCGATCATGTTAATTTGTTTAATTACTTAAAGAATTCTGTTGATCGAGATCTGAAGCTATGCTTTATTGATCAGCTGGCACACATTGGTAATTGGGAAGAGTGAGATCCACAGCCGTTATCACACACACACACACACCTATATATAAAAATGATGATACAGTGGCCACTGTGTTTAGGGTTACAACCTTTACAAAATCTTGGCCGTCAATTCCCCATCTGATATGACCATACTCTGTTTATAGTGTGTCTGCAAAGACAAGCTATTAGCTTCTTGGTCATCAGTGACAACCAAATTTAGATTTTAAATTTAATATAGTCCATTTTGCATCATTACTTTTTAAACCGGTAATAACGTTTTACCCATAACTTATTCCGGTTACTTGGTTCATTTCTTCACGGCTTATTATCAGGCATTGTAACATGGCTCAAACAACCATGCGTCTGTTCTAAAATAAAATTGCATCATGATATTATATGTGCAGGGGCTCACACGGTGGGGGTGACACACTGCTCGGTGATAAAGGACCGGCTGTACAACTTCAACGGCACCGGCGAGGCGGACCCGTCGATGGACCCGATATACGTGTGGATCCTGACGACGTTCGCGTGCCCAAAGAGCCAGGCCTTCGACAACATCGTCTACCTGGACGACCCCTCCAGCATCCTCACCGTCGACAAGAGCTACTACTCCCAGATCCTCCACCGCCGCGGCGTCCTCGCCGTCGACCAGAAGCTCGGCGACCACGCCGCCACCGCCTGGATGGTCAACTTCCTCGGCACCACCGACTTCTTCTCCTCCATGTTCCCCTACGCCCTCAACAAGCTCGCCGCCGTCGACGTCAAGACCGGCGCCGCCGGCGAGATCAGGGCTAACTGCCGGAGGACCAATTAACTAGCTAGGAGCATGATGCCCAAGTGCTATAGTTAATTAATTAGAACATCCATCAAAGAAACAAACAGATTTAAAGAGAGAGAGATCGTAGTATATGAGCACATCCAGCCAGAGCATATATGCACATTCATTCTTTTCTTTTGCCCTCCTGATCTTGTCAATGATTGCATCCATGATTCTACTATACATTAGTAGTTGATTTCAGTAAAGATTTTAGCAAATTAATTTACTGGAGCTTAGCTAGTAGCACTTTAGTAATTTAGTAGTGTTTTCCTTCTCTACTTCACTAGAAGTACCTTGTGAGTTGTACTTGATCACTGCCTTGAGATTCTTTTTGTTTTGTACGTGGCTCGTATAAAAATAAAGACACTCCATGATACAAGAGCAGCGGTACTCTTACTCAATAATAATATATTTATGAATGAAGATAATACGACTACTCACCCTGTACCAAAATAAGTCGATAAACCTAGACACCACTGTCCAGGTTTATAGCCAAAAATTTACTTATGTGTCTAGATTTATGACCATAAATTAACTTATTTTAGAGCGAAGGGAATATAGGGCTTGTTTGGTTCGCATATCCAATCTCGACCAAGCCGAAAATTTGGAGATGCCAAAATATTTGTCATTCTATTTGGTTTATAGCAAAAAAAAATGAAAAAAGGATGACGGTTTATTTGGTTTGGTTGAATTGAGCCTAAGCCAAAATACACCTTTGTGGTAGCATACGAAACAAAAACGGTTGCCAAATGCCAATCTTTACCAAAACAAACAAATGGTCACAACCAATTCTTGCCATTGCTAAAACAATTGGTATGGTTAGGATTGGCAATGAACCAAACAATCCCATACATAGTATTTACTTCTCAGAGAAAAATTAAGGCCAGGAAGGGAATCTCTAAGGGTCAAGGAGAAATGCATGTGATACATACTGCCCTGTTCACCTCTACTGTTGACATGTACCAGAAGAAACCTAGGGACGGTAAGCTGGATTAGTCAATAAGCATCTTTAAGGGTTCTGGAGCCAGCGAATGCGACTAGTGCTCGCTGCAAACAAGGTAGCAGAGTAGTGCATCCCGAGAGCGAAGCCTGGGAAGCTGGGAATCTTCAACCTCACGAAAGCTGAGGCAAATTTCTTAATCCGGGCATCTTATGCAGAGTCCAGACCTTGAACCGGCTGCCGGGCTCCAGCTAATTAACGGGGTGTTTGGGAGGGAGGGGCTAAACTTTAGCCAGCACCTCCCTCCCAAACACCCCCGTATATGCATGAATCCTACTAATGCTATTACCCACTATTATGACACACTCTCTCTCTCTCTCTCTCTCTCTCTCTCTCTCTCAAAATATTTTACTCCAAGCTGTAGTACATAATGCGATCTAAACAGTAAGCATCCTATAGTGCATAAGAAAATCAGAAGGTAACATTCCCTGGCACAGAGATACACAAGGCTTGATTAATGCAAGAATTGCGGTCAACACTCAGCAGCCAGCTCTAAGCTCCAGCCGTGCATTGGAAACAAGTCAAAGTTCTAGACTCTGGCCTTTTTTTAGCCATAATTCATGTTTCGTTTATCTCCAGGACATCAATATATTTAAGAAAATTAGTGTAACTGTGAATAAGATTGATTGATAGGATATTTGCTGTCCCAATTTATACTCCTAGAAGCCAAAATTCATTTGTAGAGAATGACATATCAAATTGTTCAACTCATCGCCATCACATAGCAGATAATAAATTTGGGATTTGTTCTAGCCTGTGGAATTGGACACTCCGATTTTGGAGTAAAAACTCATTCAACAACGGCTAACAGATCAGACTCACGGCAGAAGCAGTGCTTCTCATCGGTACCCAGGTCCACCTGCAAGTACATGCAATACCATGAGCGTTCAGATGACTGGAACAAAAACCAAAAAAGGCATCGTACTCCCTCCTTTCAGATTCGTTATACTAGGAGGGGTCACATCCCCTTCTAGGTTGCCTTTTTTTTGGGACGGAGGGAGTACTTAGGAGAAAGACCACAAAATGTATCCGTTAGGGAGAAGCCAATTCATTTACCTCATAAGCATTTATGTCAGAGAAGAGAACCTGCAAAGTCACAAGCAGAACCAGGTCAGTGAATCATGTTCAATTGACATTTTAATGCGATACAAAGAACACAGGCGGAACAGCTGTGCCGACTGTAAAGGTGAAAGCAGAAGATATATGTTGTATTTGACAAGTGAGAGTGAAAACAAGAATTGCAGTGGAGCTCCAGGGAAAAGAAACAGAAAAATGAAGGGCATAATAAAAGAGGTAATGATCAAGCAGTGGTTTCAGATTCACACAACGGGCCATGGGCATCTAATCAGCTTGCATTAAAAAACCACCTGCTCTAATGACCAAAAACTGGAGTTTCCATTAAAAATGAAATTGCCTAAAGACCAAAGATATCACTCAGCTTCATTAAGCCACATAAACATTTCACATTTAATGGAGCAATCTTTGAAACAGTTAACATGACATTCATGCATATTTCTATGCAGCAAGTCAAGTATCTTTCCCTATAACATACAAGAAATATGAATATGCTAAGTTAATAGTATATTGCAACGTTTTATACTATACAATAAAAGGAAAATTAATAGGTTGTGTAGAAGCACAAGATAAGCAAGCCCAAATGAGACCTTGCTGACCATGGGATCATCGCACCACATCTAAGCACACAGTAAAAATTAGTAGTGGGCAGTTTTTTCTCCATGTTGTATTGTGTTTAACATGATATTGCACCTTTATATATATGAGAAACCTACTAATGTAATATTGATGCCTTTTCATATATTAGTGATTTTAAGATTTCAATGTTCGACAATCCGAGTATCACTTAAGTTTCTACTGTGTTATCCCACAGCAGTGCTTGGCGGGCTCACTTCTCGCCACCAAAAAGATCAAGGGAAGTAGCTATACTAAAAGGGAAGTATTTTAAAATGCAGATTGCATTTTCTAATGGATGAAGCTTACAGCAATTACAATTTCTGCAGGTAACTACACATAAAACCAAATCTGGCGCAAACTGTAAGTTATCATAAATTTAGTTATACCCATAAAGAACAAATTGTCATTAGAGATCCCCCCTGCATCTAATCTAAATGTAGTAGTGCAGTACATGGAAGTACTATGCAAAGTGAAGAACACCACAGGCAATAACATACAATCTGGTACGTGCTATTCAGAAGTGAATATAATATGTCAAAGTTTTGCAAGCATAGAATTCTCCTTTGTTGACGTACATACACACTCGGAACATGCATTAAGAGTTTACCTTCTTTCCAGCTTCAACTTCATTAACATCAGCACCAACAGACAAAATCTAGCAGAAATAGTATGATGTTAAGGAATTATAGCCCGGTGAAGGTAACAATTATAAGAGTAGAGCATGGCAATGTAAGATCTTACCTCACCCATCAAATACCTCTCAAACTTAACAGCAGATTTTGGCAGCAGGACTCCTCCAACAGATTTCTGTAGGCGTCAAAAGTTTTATAAGAATAAGCTACGTTACAAGATAATCTACTCCTAGTGACTATGCCTATAACTTCAGAATAACCATAACATGATTTTCATGGAAATACGCATCTGTAGATTGGCCGAAGAAAATTTTCAGAAGTTTTTCCTCATAAAATGCTATGATAATGATTATTTGCCATAGCGGACAAAAAGAGTAGCCATCCTAGACAATCCAGTCACCCAGTGACCCAGTGATAGCTGAACAGTGTGTTACATTCTGCAGTCTTTTGGCACGAAACTAACTGGATCACCTGAATTATTTTCTGTAGTTAACTTATTTCAAAGTTTAGTGTAAACAAATGGCGCTATGTAAGACAAATAACGAAGTGCTGATGTTTAAAGATAAATTCTTCACCACTCCAGAATTCAAAATTTTCTTATGCTACCTAAACATGTAGCTTCCTAGATAATATATCACAAGTTCCAACATAACTGAAGAAGCATTAGCTGAAAAGCAGGCAAATTACATTTTACTCCCTCCGTATTTTAATGTATGACACCGTTGACTTCTCGAACAACGTTTGACCATTCGTTTTATTTAAATTTTTTGTGCAAATATAAAAATATTTATGTCATACTTAAAAAATATTTGATGATAAATCAAGCCACAATAAAATAAATGATAATTACATAAATTTTTTGAATAAGACGAATGGTCAAACGTTGATTAAAAAGTCAACGGCGTCATACATTAAAATATGGAGGGAGTATAATATATCTGCAACTATGCAAGTATCAGTGCCAAAATATGATAATTGAAGCCTAATCCTAGTGAAATTAAATATGTAAAAACTGACTCCCTAGTCACAACCTTCCTACCATTTCTGCACCATTACCAGCATTCCACCTAAACCTAGATGTTTCGATTCACGCTACATCAACAAAGGATTCACTCAACTAGAGGCATTCAGAATAGCTATCACCACAGACAATGGCTAAGCAATTAACTGAAATGCTTGAACTAACAAATTAAAATGCAGAGCAAATTAAAGGGCATTGCGAGGCAATGGAGCACGAGATACCTCAGGAATCTGTTCGAGGCGGACGAGCACCCGGTCGGACTGCGGCGCCACCTGGACAACAACAACACCACCACCAGATAGCACATTAGCACAGACGTCAGAACCCTACCCCCCCAAACCCCTGGAACTCGAACTCGAGCCACCCGTAATGCGGTTACCTTGGAAGGGTCGTACTTGAGGGCGGCGACGCGGAGGGAGGAGGCGGCGCGGCGGCCGGTGGCGGCGGCGGCGACGAGCGGCCTGCGGCTGCCACTGGCGGCGGCGGCGCCGTGGAGGAGGAAGGGCGAGGCGGCGGCGGCGAGGAGGGAGGGGGCCATCTGGGGACAGCGAGCGGGCGAGGTGGCGGTGGGGAGCACGGAAGCGCGGAAGGTTCTAGAAGAAGTGGAGAGGAGGCAGAGGCTTCGCCGGAGAGGAGGACAGGCGCTTCTCTTATCTGCTTCTGCTCCTCTTTCTTTCGTCGAGGAGGATGAGATTGACGATGGCTTCTCCTTCTCGATGCTTCCGGAGATGGCTTCTTAGTGGGCCGCAAATGTACTACTGGGCTATAACTATCAACACCGAGGATGCCGACCCAACTTAATTTCCAGGACAGTATTAGGCCCAATATAGACGTGGATTTGGTCTTCGATTATATAGTTCTTTGTTAATTAATTACTCTTAGGCGCAAATGAGATAGGGAAATGATTTCCCACCCACCAAAAAACATCATTAAATCCTAACTATTCATTCTCCCCCTTCCATTTAATCCTAACCCTTCATTCATTTTCCAATCACAATCCCACCCCTACAGTACAATCAATTGTTCCGAAGTTACTGTTACTGAATGCAGAGAGAGTTGCAGAATGCAGATACTGATAAGGGTGGTACAGTGAACAATAGTATTGGTAGATTGCACTTGCAGCAGATTTGTCATGGTTTGGCAGTGATCCTGATCAATGTGCGTAGGGGCAGGGCAGGCCGAGAGATGAGATCTGGATGGATCACGCATACTGTAGCAAGCTCAAGCTAGCTAGCTGCACTGCACGCACTGGCCGGCCGGGTTGGCTACTATACATGACACCACATCCTACGATCGATGGGCCTCCCGTGATACAGGAGATTATAGTGTTTTTTATAAAGATTAAAGAAGTACATCTATATTAAAGTTGTTTAAAAAATTATATTAATATGTTCCTTTTAAGTTCTAAATTATTAATACTTAATTAATAACATGCTATGACTTATCTTGTTTTAGGTATCCTTCTTAATTTTCTCCACCCCCTCCACCCAAACACATCCATCCTTCTCAATTCGGCCGATCAGATGCATGCATACGACGTACAAGACGTACTCCTACTAGCTAGTGGGGGTAACTGGCTGTTCTTCTACTCCTACTACTGCCTACTAACGGCTTGTTTGGTAACTCGAGGGAAAGGGATCGGGAGTTTACACGAGGGAATTGATGATGAGATTAAGATGGGAATTTGATTTTTAATCCTAATATCTTGTTTGGAGAGGTGATAGAAATTGATAGGGAGTTTAGTTGGAGATTAGGTCATTAATAAAAACGGATGGCTGAGATTTGCTTAGAAAAAGTAAATGAGGAATTCTCTCCCAATTACCTGCCCCTACCCAGGTATTGAAAAGGAGGGAGTTCCTTCCTCAATTCCCCATCCCCATCCCACCAAAATTCACATGTCTCCCAACCAAACAAAACACTTATAGCCTCATCCCTCTAAACTCCCAATCCCTTCTAAAAACTCCCTCCAACCAAACAAGCCGTAAGGGCTCATTCCGAAGGGAGGAAATGTGAAGGAAAAATAGAAAAATAGAGGATTGATGATTCCTTTGAATTAGATCTTGTAGATGCATTCATTTCAAAGGGTTGCCCATATTTTCACATAAAAATAGTCCACTCGATCTACCCTCTTTGTTGTAAGAATTCTTCGCACGAAGAACAAGAAATTCGTATATTTTTTATTTCTCTATTTTACACATACATTCCTATAATATTCTTATGTTTTTACTATTCCTACATTTTTATATGCATGCATGGCTCAGACGGCTCAGACGGCTACACAAAATATCAGTAAAGGAGATGTAGAGTGCTAGTAGGAGGCAAGTATATATAGCCACACAGGAGAAATACTCCATCGATCAGTTTAGCAATATAAGACATATATATAACATTTTAAAATTTGATAAAACTTACATAAAAAATAGCAACATATAACCCTGAATTAGTTTTTAGCATTGAATGTATTTTCGTAGTAAGTTTATTTTGTGTTAGAAATATTATAAATTATGTTAATTTTTTTTTAAAAAAGCTGACTTAGAGAAAAGTTAAAGATTCTTTAATATAAGTCGGAGAGAGTGAATTACGTCGAGATGGATTAAGTTTGGCAAAGGTCGGCATCAACAGCACATGTACTATATATATCACTGACGGTATTTGTTTGTCCTCATCGGGACGAAGCTGCAGCTGTACGCATCAACCATGTACTTAATTTGCAAATATACTAGCTACAATGCTGGACCGGCGAAAACAAACTAAATATACTCTACTATAATTAATATACGTGGTTAATTCGTTCACGTGGAAACGGAATTTTTGTTGGTTTTCATCCATACATGTAAATTTAACCCTACGACGCAAATATTGTAATTCAAATCCTTATTTTAAAAAAAGAAAAAGATATAACATGCACCGACGTGTGTGTTAGCTGATGTGGACGCGTACATGGAAAATTAATGTGAAAGAAGGTCAAAGAAAGATGATCTATGACGTGACAGATCGAGGCAGCCATTGGTTACTCGATTAATATATACCACCTCCGTTTTTTAATAGATGATGCCGTTGACTTTTTCTCACATGTTTGACCATTTGTCTTATTCAAAAAAATTTACATAATTATAATTTATTTTGTTATGAGTTATTTTATTTCTTATAGTACTTTAAGTGTTATTTATATCTTATACATTTGCATAAAATTTTTGAATAAGACGAATGGTCAAACATGTGAGAAAAAGTCAACGGCGTCATCTATTAAAAAACGGATGGAGTATTAATTAATACGCTTTTAATCTCTCGGCAGAGCACACGTAACTCAGGAATTAAACGAGGTTAATCGCTAAACTAATCAGGTTGGGTTAGCCGTCGAGGACGCCCGAGGCCAGCGCAAATCGAGCAAATTAATTAATTAGTTAACTGTTTAATTAACTTGCGGACCAAGTGATGAAACCAAATCTACTCACAGATGACATGTCTCGGTCAAGCGATCGAGCAGGTGGACACACGACTAGTCGACGTACAACTTGCATATCAGAGTCTTTTTTATCTACTCGCTCCGTATTAGATTATAAACCATTTTAATTTTGATTAAAGTTAGGCTGTTTTAATTTTGATTAAATTTATAGAAAAAAATAGTAACATTTTTAACACAAGACAAATATATTATGAAAATATATTCAATTATCGATTTAATGAAATTAATTTGGTGTTGTAAATATTATAACATATTTGTCTCTAAACTTAAGTTAAATTTACAATAATTTGACTTTGACATCAAAACGACTTATAATTTAAAACGGAGAAAGTAGCACGCATATACATTTTCGTTCCCACGTGTAGTGGCGAAGCCACCGGGGTGCCAGGGTGGGCCTGGCACCCCCCATCCCCATGCACCCCCGGTGATTAGGCATCTAATCCATACAATTAACTCATTAGTTAGTTGCAAGTTGAGCCTATACATAACTAACCAATACGTGATTACCTGAGTTAATGCAACTAAGCGATGCGGTTGCAAGTCTCCAAAACTAAAAAAGGATGAATAGATTCATGTATTCAGTAAATTTGGTGCTATTTAGTTGCCTAATTTTAAAAAATGATTCTTTGGCGACCACGTATATTAGTGCGAACAAGAGGTGAGGTGAGGGCAATCTGCCACTCAGCATGAACTGAGCCATCAAGATCCACACTTTTGTCTACCGAGGCGCTGGTGAGTTCTTGCATCTCGTGGCCAGCACCCCCTATCACTAAATCTTGGCTTCGCCATTGCCCACGTGTGCTCTACCTGGACAACGTACCAGTGGTACCACCTACGTACTTTCTTCGTTTTAGAATATATTTTTTAAACTACAGAGAAAGTAAGTTGAAAGTTACATTAACAAATTAAGTCACAGATAAGTGATAATGCATCTAACAAATGATGAGATCGATCGATTGCCACATTATATATATATATATATATATATATATATATATATATATATATATATATATATATATGAAAGTCGAATTTCTTCCACTCTCATTTGAGAGTGCGAATACAAGGAGGTATTTTGTGTTTGGGAAAGTCCGAAGAAAAAAGGATTTTGAATCCTCCTTTTCCTTTTTCCCTTAGAAAAATAACTCAATCAAAATCCAATTATCTACTCTACAAGAACGAAACGCTTGTTATGCCTAATATACTTAGTTTAACCTGTATTTGTTTTAATTCTATTATTTATCCGACTAGTTTTTTCTTCGCCAAATTGCCCGAAGCTTATGCCATTTTCAACCCAATCGTGGATTTTATGCCTGTCATACCTGTACTCTTTTTTCTATTAGCCTTTGTTTGGCAAGCTGCTGTAAGTTTTCGATGAAATCTTTACTACTCTGTCTGCCAAATTGAATCATGTATTCATTCTAAAAAAATTCGAAATATGGATAAGAGCCGAGAAGTCTTATATTATGAACCTTCGATTCTAAAATTCAAATTCTTCTACATTGAATGTATAGCTGCAGCAATAAATTTGGATCAGTCTTTCTACTCCCTGCATCTACGTTGAGCAGGTATCTTTAGGTAACCGCACAATACCTAACCTAATTTATTGATAAGAGTGCTTATTATAAATCAATTCTTGCAATTTTTTTCAAAAATTGATTTTTGCATTTTTAGGTGTCAAAATAAACAAAACCCATCCTAGTGGATTTGTGTGGTAAGGAAAAACGGGTAATCTATTCCTTAAAAAAAATCTTGGAGATTATGTAATGCTTACTCTCAAACTTTTTGTTTATACAGTAGTGATATTCTTTGTTTCCCTCTTTATCTTTGGATTCTTATCTAATGATCCAGGACGTAATCCTGGGCGTGACGAGTAAAAATCCAAAATTTTTTCTTACAAATTGGATTTGTTTCATACATTTATCTACGAGAAAATCCGGGGGTCAGAATTCCTTCCAATTCGAAAGTCCCAAACGATCCGAGGGGGCGGAAAGAGAGGGATTCGAACCCTCGGTACAAAAAAATTGTACAACGGATTAGCAATCCGCCGCTTTAGTCCACTCAGCCATCTCTCCCCGTTCCAAATCGAAAGGTTTCCGTGATATGACAGAGGCAAGAAATAACGATTGCAAAAAATCCTTCCTTTTTCTTTCAAAAGTTCAAAAAAATTATATTGCCAATTCCATTTTAGTTATATTCTTTTTTCTTAATGTTAATAAAAAAAAGAAGAAAATTCT